TGTATTTCTGATTATTTTTTGCTGTTTAGATTTTGACCTATATCTAGTATAGGTTTTAGGGATAATAGGTTTAACGCTAAAATGAGTCAAACATCGTGATTTATGGCCAATAACTCTATAAGGGTCATCCATTGATTTCGGTCATACATGTGTATTGTAATTCTTATAGACCTTGTATTGCTGATCATTTTTTGCCCATCCAATATTTAGTTATCTAATATTTTTTTTTGAGTTAATAGGCAAAAACATGAAAATAAGCCCTAAAAAATTTCATTTAAGGGCAATAACAATCTTTATACGTGTACTAGATAACCTAAAGATCCATCGCCCAAAGCTTGGCTGAAATTGGTTCAGTAGTTTCAGAGAAGATCTTTTAAAAAGTTTACGTCGACGACGGACGCCAAGTGATGGCTAAAAATCATTCAGACGAAGAAATGGAATAAGAAGTGCAAACTACACCATATGAGTAAGATTCTGTGGAAGTTTCATACAATTCTGCAAAGGAGGAGTTACTGATACAAAATTGGGACAGAAGGACGGACAGACTGACGTTCGACGGATATACTCCCTCCATCACTATATAATGCCTGTCTTAAAAAGCGGGGAAAGTCACAAGTATATTTTTTTTTGTATGACCAAAGGAAATATCATGATACAGATGCGAACCTTTATAAAGTACACGGAAATTTTTGAAAAGCGTTGCCGAATTAGCTATCTATATTTCAAAATGATTGCAAAAAAATTTCCGACGACATTGTAGACATGATGTATATTGTTTAAGATATTTTGCTTATGGGTCATTTTAAAATATTACCGCTGATGCGTTTAACATTGATGGATCTATTAAATGTTTCTTTTACGATAAATTTATCATGACTAATAATATGTCCGTCTTATTTTTGAATATCTCCTACATCACTTTTTATGGTATTTCCTGCATTTTTATGTTGTTGTCTTTTATTTTCTGCCAGGCCCCTTTGTCACCCGAAGTTACAACGAAAGAACAGTTGCTGTCAAAATATATTCTTTTTTCTCATACTCCTCCAACCTTTTCTCTTTTTCCCCAATTCGGCTTTTTTGGATATTATAATTATTAAGTATTTTCAACTCCTTTAATGTAACACTCAGCACGTGAAAAACGACCATTGTTCAATCAGTTTAAATTTTCAAACAAATTTGATATTTTGACTATATGCGACCGACGAGTTAGCATTCTGATTACAGTCTTTCTTAAGATTTCCTCAGTATGGTTGAAACTTAAGTAATTTACACAAGACGTAAGAATATCACTTACCTAAGAAAGTCCTTTGTGAAAGTGTCAAGAATATACATCCATTTTATTAAAACTAGCATCAGTATCTTTGAAAGGATTGAAGAATTTTACTTTTTTTTTTATTGCAGGGTCGATATAATGGGTTTTGTTATACCTCCTTTTTTGCTCAAATAAGGTATTTGAAGTAGATGTATAGGTCAAACCACTTATTCTTATAATGTATAATGGGCATATTCAGGTAAAGTAATTTTATAGTAAGGAAATTTGATTAAAATAGTCAATATATAAACTAAATATAAATCAACTGTAGTGTAATTGGGATGATCCGATCAACGCCTTTAACGGTTAAGATAGAAAAAAAAGTTGAAATGTAAATCATTATTACTACATTGAACATATGAACATTTTTGGATCATTTATTTGATCAATTTCTAAAATGATTATGAATAATATTGATGATTAAATACAATATTAATATTTACAGTACTTTCAAATACGTTGACCAAAAATTCAAAATAAAGATTATTCCATTTTATTACTACATGTAGTATATGACATGAGGGTACTAACTTGACAAATCACGTTCCTTTAGTTCTTGTGAACCTACACTAAATATAGATGGGGAAAAAACGGTCTCTTTTTTATTCCTTTGACTCTTAGTCCCTTTATTTGCAAGCAGTTAAGTAACACATCCCTGAAAAATAAAATCTTTTTTTTTAATTTCCTTAGCAAATAACTGCTATAACTTGAACAATGTGCCTCTTTTAAAACATGTTTTACATTTCAACCTTTTTTTTTATAAAAATTACGAAATGGTTTTTTGAATTATTAACTAGTATCAAAAGTGAATAAACAGTTCCATTTTTATTCGCCCGTTTACGGGACGTATTATGGTATACCGTTGTCTGTCCGTCCGTCTGTCGTCAACATGTCGGACAATAACTCAAAAACGCTTTAACCAATTTGCATGAAACTTGGTGAATTGTTTATATCTATTGACGTGAGCTCCCTTTCGATTTTTATAAATTTTATATTTTGCGTTTCCGAGTTATAGGGTTTAATTCATTACACTCAACTTTTTCTCATCTGTTGCAAAGTACTTTTTCTAAATCAATTTAGTTTTGAATCAGGAAGACAGTCACAATAGTCTTTAAATGTTCTAAGACAATATCATAAAACTATGCCAATGTAATTTACACTGTTCAAGCATCACCGCACGTCAAATTTTGTACAACAGAAAAACTGATTGGACATTAGTGACAATTTGTCACGCTCTCATGAATTGGCGTCCTATCAACGACCTTCAAAAAGCTTTCATTAAAATTACCGGTATTTCACACACAAGATACTGTATACTGTAAACAAAAATATTAATTCAATTTATTTTTGCATTGAACATGCAATGAAGCCACGGATTCATAACCTTAAAAAATGGTTCACAAACGGTTGATAAAATGTAGAATTTCTGAATAGAAATATAAAAATTATGTCCAGTACGCGTTTAAAAACGGTCTCTATTCGAACATATTGAGATGTTTCGGTAATGTACTTGTTCAGTGTGAAAAGAATTTTAGAGGTCAATTTGACTTTTAATCTAATGGATTTTCAATTTTAATTAAAGATGTGTTTGGTTTTCCTCTTGTTTTAAAACTTATATCATTATTCTCTGACATTTTCCATTATCTTCTGACATTTTGTTTTGAATATGAATGATTTAACAAACCTATACCAAACATTTAAAATTTTACTCTGCGTTTATAAATACCATTGAAAGTACAACATCTAACAAAAGATAAACATTGCTAGGAGAAAATGAGCAACTCGTTCTCAGGTTGAGATGTAAATAATATGTCCGTTATTTGATTTTCTGAGGTAAACAATAGAAACCCCTTGAATATCTTTTCATGACAAGAACGAAAAGGGGCGAAACTGAACTTCCAACAGCGAGCGATGATTTTTAATCGTATAATACTCTTGCAAAGGATTTTTTTTAAATGCAATGTAAAACTTATCAATTTTGACATTTCTTATCCCGAATTACTTCTAATACATTATTTCATGGCACACCGACCCGAGAAGTAAAATGAAGTATGGTAATTGTTTCATGATATATTTTGACCATCATTTGTGACTTTCAACAAGTGGTATTTCCTGTTGATCATTTAAAACACTGCACAATATTCAATTAACATATACATTTATACATGAGCTTTAGAATGATCGATAACGGAAGGAAACAAAAAATAATTGCAAAATGTTAACATTTTGTTTTTTATAAGGTTTAATTTTGTCTAAGTCTGATTTATATTTAAAAGCTGTGATTTACTAAAGACTTAGAATAATTCTATTATGAGTATAATTGAATTAATTCTTGTAAATCGAAAAGCAAAGAAAATTTTCAATTTCAGAATGTCAAAAACTACAGAGTTTTCAAGAACCAAAACTGCATTTATAATTTTAGCTATTGACCTGAAATACAAATTAAGCAGGCCTCAGCGTGTGTCTTTCAGATGAAGAACAGCAATAACAGTACTGTTCCGTTGCCTTTGGTATTGCCAATTGCATGTACGGATTTTGTGTTGAGGGTTAATTATTTATACACCATGTTCCTTCTTTTCCAGTCTATAATTATTCAGATTTGAGGAATAAGATACATGTAAATTGAAGTTGGTTCGTTTTGTTTTACATCGAATAATTCATGTGCTATGTGAGCAGTTTGGGCCATATATTATTGATTAATTTAGCCAGTTCAACATTCATATTTTCTTTCGATTCCAAGATGAATGGACATGGGGTCTGTATTTTGATTAGGTTGTTTCACTGCTAAATAAAGTAATTAGTTCCAATCGAAATTGTCTTCAGAAAGAAAAACTAAGGTTTCGTTTGCTCGTACTTCTTTCTATCGTCCATAGATCAAAATTGTTTAAATTAATAAAATTTCAAGATTTGAACAGTTTCATAACTCCGGGCATAACATATTTTTTTAAATTTCAAGTCGAAAGAAAAATAAAGTTTTCAAAGAAACTGAAAAAAACCACTATGACTGTGTTTTTTTTTCAGCATAAGCCATTTTGTTTTTCGAAGAAAGACTTATATTACAGTATATTACAATAAGCATATTTAGAGTACATCGACATGCCACTACATGATAGTTCATCATTTTATGAAGGCATGTTTAACTGTCACTAGTATCAAAAGTCCTAGTAATGGACTTCTGCTAGTATCCAATCAACTGTTCTATCGCACATAGATTGACGTACGGTGATGCTTGAAACAATGTAATTTATAAAGTGACATTGTCATAGTTTTAGGACACTGTTGTTATCTGTATATGTATCTGTATCAACATCAAAGAATAATGTACTTTATTGTCGGAGTTGTGGACTACTGATTCAATTTTATGTTGATTTCGACAACCAGTTTTGTAACCGCTGAGAAAAAAGTTGAGTGTAAAAAAGGGGGATTTTCCAGTTTTCGGACAATAACTCAAAAATGCTTTGAGCAGTTTTCATGGAACTTTGGTGACTGGTTTATATCTATTGAAAAAGCGACGGGCGTATCATGCGCTCATGGCACAGCTGTTTATTTTAATGTTTATGTAAATCAAAATGATGATGTAAAGAAGTTTGTATGGGAAGACCGCGATTACAACACATATACCTTCCCTTACTACACGTTTTATACCCGGAAGTCGTGATAACATATGTTTGATATACAGACATAGCACATTTGATAGAAACTACAAAAACATGTACGAAAACAAAATTTATTAATGAAATCAATTTCATTAATAACTAGAAGTGAATTTCATTATTTTTGGACATAATTATTTATAAAAAAGGACATGAGGAATTGCAAAATACTATTTGTGAAGGTTTAATATGGAGTTTACATAATTATGAAACTAGTACACATATATATTTGACAGGGCATACATACCTGTCGAAATTTGATTGATTGCAAATGACCAATTAATAAAAAATTTGGTTAGACATTGATGTTGATTTAAACGAAAGGATATTTTTGGAAAGTTTAATTTTGTGTCATAATGAATTTTTATTTGTTGCAATTGTGTTTTGTGTATTTGATTTTCGTGAATCTGATACAAGGATACCCGAATGGAGCTCCAAGGACAGAAGATTCATGTCTTAATTTACAACCAATACATTCTGACCCTACCACTAATCAGCAGTTTCCAAACCAACAAGGTCCGGCACCCTTCAGAATAGAATTATCTACAGGAGTTTACCAACCGTGTGTAATGCCAATAGACTGTCGACGAGCTCCTCTTACAGGTAAAGTAATATATTACGAAACAGTCAAATTACAAAACGATTAGCCAGCATTCAGACAGTACTAGAATTAAATTTCTACGTATTTCGATTTGTTGAAAATCATCGGAAATTTAATCTATTTTATGATATGCGATCTATTCTATATAATTTTTGTAGACCCTAATAAATAATTAATTTGCCGTAATTTAATGGTGTCTTTAATGTAGTTTTGTTTAATAAAAACTTTAAAACGGCAATTAAATTTGTGATTCAAAATCAAGAAATTGCTTCCTCCCTTGTATATAACTTTTCGATTTTCTCTTGAAAATGTGTTTAAAGTATTGCCTGGCAGGGTAATATGCATGTGGGAATTAACGAAAATGATAAAACTTCATGACATATATTGCTTCTGGCATCGAACTTTGGACATGTTTTGATTAAGCTATGAAATCGGTATTTATGTTCTCATTTGTTCCTCAACCGAACATAAAGTATCTAATCCTTAAACCACGTACATAAAAGAAACCCGATGATATCGCTATGGAATATGCTCGCCAGGAGAACAGCTAATTTATAAATAACATTTATTTAACAACATAGAAATAGTCTGCACTGGTCGCTGCCATTTTGAAATATCTACAAAGACAAAACAGAAACAGTCAATATAAAAATAAATGAAAACAAAATACAAATTTTCCATACAAATAATTAGGGGTTGGAGGTTGGAATAGCTGCAATGAAAACTAAGCTTCGAGTGATTATAAACTGTACTTTGATAAACAAAGAAATCTTTTCCCACATAATTTAATGGTCAAATTCGGACCTATGGTAAATGTTTATCAAAATATATAAACAAAGACAGGCGAATGAACACGTGAATAGGTAACATAGGCACATGTATTAATAACAGGAATGAATAAATTCATGGTCTCATTCGTTCCTCACCAAAACATAAAATATTTAATCTCTAAACCACAACACTTAAGCTAGTACGTATACATACAATAAACACACCATATCATTATGGGAGCAGCTCGCCAAGTGTGCAGCCAACCTTCGAACAGAAACAAAGAAAGGGAAACTATAATGAATTTGTAAAAAAATGTGTATGCAATAACAAAAGTTATCATAAACCTATTTTTTTGGAAACCAATAATCTTTCTGTTGCAACTTTAAACTCATAATATAACATAAGTTAAACGTCCTAATTCAGACCATTGGTAAATGTTTATTAAAATAAATAAACAAATGCACCTGAATGTACATAGAATTACCCGAAATTATTTTCACTTTCTTCTTATTATTATCAATTTCATGTGATACATTTTTGTGTCTTTCGTTATTATTTATGAGTTTTTTTTCAGTTACGATTCGTGGGCTTTCTCGTTATTTCCGAGGATTTATAATTCAAGCCAGGACAGAGTTCGGAGGTGTAAAATCTTTTGGCAAATTTATCCCATTGGGAAACATGGTGTCTAAAACTGTTGCTTGTCAAAATGGACAATCTCTGACTCATTCCACAAACAACGACAGAACAGTTGTACAATTCCAATGGCTTCCTGAACCTAACATGAGAGAATCCTTCCGGTTCTTGTAAGTACTGTCGAAAAGTCAAATTTACACAATTCATGACGGATACCTTTTTCTAAATCTTGATGATTTCTAAACGTTTGAACAAAACATACGGTAAAATATGATGATTTTAGTGCAGATGAAAGAACTTTTAGTGAGCAAACTCGCAAACCCCACGCCATCCACATACTAGTAATTAATATAGAATTTTTTTTTTATAAATCCCCATCAAGTTTATTTTTGATAAAAGGAAACCCTTGAAACACATGAGAAGAGGACTTAATAAAATAAATACATGTACGGATTTTTTTTTTAGTAAATCCTTCATACAAATTTAATTTAAATTTGACAAGATGAAAGATACAATATAGCAAGAATTAAAACGGTATATTCTACATGTCCCTCCCTCGATGAAATGGTCTCTAATACGGCAATACATATTTGTTTAGATTATCGAAATCATCCGCAGTTTTGAAGAGTGAAAACCTTCATCTTAATTGATTGGGATCCGACAAAAATGAAGGTGCTACCCTATCCTACGAAGTGATAACGGATTCCATGACAATTATACATCTATTGTTCATCTTTAAAAGTCGTTTTCATTTAAGCAATTTCGACATCAAATGTAATATAGAACATAACTCAATATGAAGTATTGTGAATTATTGTGTTTATGCTTTTAATGTTGAGCAAAATATATACCCGTAAGCACTAAATCAAAATTATTCATTGATGATGACGATGATGATGTAGACCCTTCTGAATTGTAACATCTTGACGGAACTATACAAGTAATACGCATCTACGGGAAAATGTCCTTTCCAAACGACTTTTGCAGGGAAATGTGCTAGCTATCAATAAAAAAAGAGTCTACTACATGTCACTTTAATAAGATCGTTCTATTCGTTTCAGATCTACAATTGTTCAGGATCTAAGAACGATCTACACCGATGTGATGTCAACAGAAATAAATCCTATAGGCAGTAAGTAAACACATCAAAAATACTAAAAACAGATGAATTTGTAGTTTAACAAAGCAATTGTCCATGATTGAATATGCATTTGTTAAAAAAAAGGAGATGTGGTATGATTGCCAATGAGACAACTATCAACCAAAGTTCAATTGAAGTGGATGTAAGCAATTATAGGCAACCGTACGGCCTTCAGCAATGAGAAAGCCCCATACCGTATGGTCGGCTATAAAAGGCCCCGACATGAAAAATATGAAACTATTCAATTGCGAAAACTAACGGCCTAATTTGTAACAAAATAATTTACGAAAAACAAATATGACAGACATGAACCGACGACAACCACTGAACTACAGGCTCCTGACTTGGGACAGGCACATAAAGAACGTGGCGGGTTAAACATGTTTGTGAACGCTCAACCCTCCCCTAACCTGGGACAGTGGTGTAACAGTACAATATAAGAACAAACTATAAAATCAGTTGAAAAAGGCTTAACTCATCAGATGGATACAAAAAGAAATACATCTATCAGAAACACAAAGTGAACGTGGAAGGGTACTTATACATCCCAAAAAAAACCCAAAAAAACACTAAGTACAGATCTGAGAGTACTCACAGTTATTAACAGCTAGTTCAACGCCAATAACAACTAATGAAAAAAATTCATGTATCTAAGACTAAAATATCATTCAGTACACATTGAACATCCAATGGATGTCATTAACAGTCAGAGAAAAACATGACCTTGTGCAATGCCAAACTATAGGTATCAACAGATTGTAGTACATTATGTACATTACAGTATGTAGTGAAAGTACATATGTGTAATATTTAGTATGGTTTTACTTCGTTTATAGCGAATAAAACTTGATAGCTCGCACATACTAGTACTTGGATAATGAAATTCGATTGATAAATACTAAATATTACAGAAAGAGGTCAAGCTTACCACAGAAAAGATAATATTTTAATGTTTAAAATTTTGCTAACAGGATAAGAGTGTTCCATATCATGACTGCATTAGAAATTTACCAGGGTACATGTAGTTGTCATTGTTTTTTTTGTTTGTTTTTTTGGCAAATTTTATAAACACGGCTTAATAGAATGATCTGATAAAGTATTACTTTATCTACAAAATGATGTCACATGTAAATAAGTTTAAGTTATATATCAATGTAAAAGTACACATTTTCCAGTTGCTTTTTCAAGCGCTCGCTCAGTTCGGTCAGGTTAAATAAAAAAAAAATGGGATTTATAGTAAACGTCAATGAGAAAGCAACCTCACAAAATGTTTATATATGGAATGTAAATATATCGAGTGGTTGTTATAGATTTAACGTCCAATTGCAAACATTTCATGCATATTTGGGGCGAGAATAAATCATATACATGTTTTTGCAAAGTGAGTCGACAGGGATGAAGGTTTGACATTTTGACTGTAAAACGTAAATCAATCTGATAAAAAATTGTAACTCGCGTACTCCTCTTATGAGCATAACGAAATCAGAAATATATATTTTAATTACATTGAACGTTAATAAGGTTATGTTGGGTGCAACAGAAATTTACAGATCAATCATGGACTGTTTGCGAGGAGGGATGACTCGGGGCATGAATTCTTCAATCCGATAGCAAACCCATACTTAAGAGGGGCGTCTGTTTGGCTGTGTGGGATTTTCAAATACGCAGCCACCTCCAGTTGGAAAGGGAACCATGAATGCAATGTCTCGTATAGGGAGAGTGCAATGTTCAGTATATTTCTAAAAACACTATGTATAAATAGGTCACCTCTTTAAATACACGTATTATACACTCGAAATAATGTTGCCGAGGAAGATCGATACTAAATATGCAGTGTATGGACTAGATACAATATGTAATTGATGAAAACAAATATAGAGAGCATATGTCTTGCATTTCATATCCATCAATATTGGTGAAATAATTTCCCAAGGTAAGACGAATAACTGACCTAAGTATCGGTTTATACCTTGGTATCAAGGCCAAAACCATCTTACAGTATTATGGAAAACAAGCCATTCAAAAAATGTTGAACGGCGTAAAGGGAGCTCACTTTTATTGGATATTTGTTACTTTCAAATATTGTAAACAGCCTTTTCATACCACATCTTATTTATATTTTCCTTTACAGAACACTTAATTCAAGGCTTCTGTGATTGTTTAAGTTTAGAATACAAGACTATATAAATCCAAGGTTTCTTTGGTCTCAGAGGTAAACATCTTGACCTGGTCAGTGGTATACAATGGATTGGTTCCAAACATTCCAAATGAAAAGTTCTGCCAAAAACATACCTTCAACTATATCTAAAGATCATTGCTTACACTGAAATATTATTTACATTTTCATATAAATATTAATACATGGAGATACAATTATGATGTAAAAATAATAAGTAAGATGTAAAGAAAAGTAATTATTAAAGTAAACCTTCAGTAAAATGATAGTGATAGACTGTGTGGACATGCTAATACTTTAAAACACTACAGAAATCGTCTAAAGCTGTTAATGAATTCAAAAGTTTTTTTTATAATGATTAGCAGTTCACTCTCTTAAATTGTAACCCTAATAGTAATGGAAAAGATTCTCAAAAATATTGATTTGATTTCGACAAATACTCGTTGTTTACAGAGTACCATTGTGTTGGCTCTTCTCAAATTTTATTCATTTTCGCCCATAAGATGTCACTCTTGTTACAAAACTACATGGTATATTTTTTAGGAAATAGAAAAAAAACACAAAGAATTCAAAGTGATTGATTGCTCATTGGTTATCTTAAATGTGCACCTGCTGTAAATCAATATTCTGACATGTTTCAATCTAAAATAAGTAACAGATCTTTTTACATGGTTGGTCTTAAGGCTACAATGTCGATACATGTACAGTATGTATGTTGCATTAAGTGCAAATACTTGATAATTAACTAACAGATTATTCTTATCTTTCGATACTATTTGGAAAGTTAATTCATTCAAATATGACAAATGTTTTAAACAACTAATAACTGTACATATTTTGACAAATTTCAGTTACGACAACACGAGATAAAAAAGGTATATTGGTGTGAATCATCATGTATTCAATATTAAAATACTAACTCGCCTACCTTACCTATTAAACTTTAATGATTCTGTATTGGAAAGGAGTTACAGAATACTAAAACACAACATCGGTATATAATTCCGTAAACTTTAACGTGTTTGTAGACTTTTTTCCATTATGTTCTCATTCTAGGCATTTTCAATGTTTTGTCTTAAGAGTAAGAAGGAGTATTTGATTTGTTTGCATCTACCTGCTATGTTTTTTGTAATCGTCAATAATTATTAATATTCTTTATATTAGAAAATCATCCAATGTATATTTGGAGAAAGCAATGATCAAAGATAATATATAAATAACACATAGCTGAGAGGGTGATAGAGCAGATTGTTACCCCGAGAAAAAAATTGTCAACTGAGGCGAAGCCGAGGTTTGCAATGCATTTTCGAGAGGTACCAATCTGCTCTATCACCCTCTCAGCTATGTGCTTTTTAATTTATTATACTGAATGTTCAATCATTACTGTCTTTTATTGTTAAATTTTAAATTAAAAGTACTTAACTATGACGTCACGTACACAACAACGTAACAGTTATTATAAAAACAACAGAAGTGAAGCAAGACATTTATTTTTTATTTGTCTATGAACAAAGTTTTTCTGAGGCCAAAACGTAGACCTTGAGCATTGTCTTTAATTTATTGATGTAAATTCAATTCATAGTCCTTTAATTATCGATTTTGATTGGTCTGCACGAGAGGGTGACATTCAACAAATTGTCTCCCGCTAAACCATGGAATAGAGTAAATTATCACCTTCGTATTATCCAATCAAAATCTGGCATTTTGACGTGAACTATAATAACAAAAAATGTAAACAACTATAAACCAGTCAACATGTACCTGTGATGAAAAAAATATACAGATTGTTGCAAAATATCTATTAATAATTATATTTTTCTAGCATTAACTTGTTTTGTTAGTATTTGTCACAAACAATATTGATAAGTGTAAAGAATGAATCAATTTACTTAAAGTTTATGATTTTTTAAATTAATTTTGGGGTATAAACTTAACTTATGAAGCAAAACGGTATTTCCCAACGTTGTTGAGATTCAATAGCACCATTAAACAAAGGTACACACCAGTCGAACTGACAAACGATGATACACCAGGTATGCTATGTATTTTCCTGTATTTGTAATACAAGAACGAATATTTATGATACTTTTTGTCAATTTAATATATTACAAAATGGAAAATTTATGTTTTCTGTAATATGCAGTTAATATAGAGTATGTGAGGCTTTGTAGTACACCGTATTTTCTACAATATAAGAAAACCAAAATACATGGCAAATACATCACTTGTGTTCTTGTATTATAAACTATGGGTGATCCCTATTAATAATAGATTATGGGTTCAAAGAAAAATGGAAACCGTACTGTAAAAATGTTATTCGAGATCAGTTTTTAACTGTAAAAATGATATAGTTCCCTATATTAATTTCATATAAGCACTGTGAACAATGTGCCTGAATGGTTAATTGGTCAACTCTGTAAACATTTTAGTTACATTTAAAAAGCAAACAGATCCACAAAATGTTGTATCCATCGAACTGTTTAGAATGTCTAAAATGAAACAGATTTTATTTTTGATTTCTTTGGCTTTTGTTGGATTAATTCAATTATTAGGAGGGTAGGGTTTAACATCTAAAAAAAAAGACTATGATGTATGATATTAACAGCTTTGCATGTGCATGAATGTATTTTAGTGAACCCATTTCAACGCACGATTCATGAGGCACAAAGTAAGTTTGCCTAGCCCAGAACTGTATTATAGACACAACGTTAGTAGACGAGTAACTTTATTATTTGGTATATTACGTATTTCAGTTGTACGCCAAGATAACGAACGAAAAACATCAAACGTTATTCAGCAACCACTCTCTGGGCCTCGTAAAATGTTTATTCTAAAGCCGTCTCCACAAGAACCATTTGATTACACTTGGAGAAGTAATCCGAGAAAGGTTCCGTCATCTTCCTTGCGGCAGATTATTCCAAATCAGCAAGTTAACAGTCGGTCGTTAAATCAGCCAGCAAATCCAAATGTACTTTCCTCTAGTTTGCAGAGCCAGTCAAATCAGCAACCAAATAATAGAATTATTGGAAATGTCAGAAGTAATGTACAACAAATTGCTTCTGAAACGAATAACGGGGTGCAATCTCCATCAACGAACAATATTGTCCAACCATCGTTAAATAGTTTAACTAATATGCAACGTTTACAACCTGCTTTAAACACAGGCCCAACTAATATGATTCAAGCACGTAATCAATTGACTGGAGCGCAAACATCCTTAATTTCTAGTAACCAACAAGTAACAAACTCTAGAACTTCAATGAAGAAAAGTTTATCTTTACAAAGAAATCAACAAATAATGATACCTGTGTCTACAAATAGACAAATAACATCGAACATTTTACCAAATGAGCAGCTTAACTCAGTAAATATAAGTAATCAAAATTTGCCTGTGCGTTCACCATCGGTACAACAATCGACAAGTAAACAACAACCTAACAGTTTACTAATCTTAACAGGTGGGGCACAAATAAGTGATCCGAAAATGAAATCAGTATCTACTGATCTTACGAATCCAGGAATGTTACCCGATATTCAACCAGAAATTGTAGCGCAGACAATCGAAGTAAGAACGACAATTCGGACTCCACCGCCATTACCAATTTCGAAAACAATATCAATGGGAGTAACCACTAACCCAGTTACTAAGCTTAACCGTATTAATCAAACTACTAATTTAGCCAAGTCAATTAACAGTATTGGAGAACGGCAATCTAATAACTTAGCGGCGTCTATAAGAAAGGATAATGAATTTCGTCAACTTAATGGTAAGTATATTGTTTTACTGTCGTTGAAAAGTACACGCCGACAGATAATCGGATTCCCTGCAAAAAGCTTTGACACAACGGACAAACATACCTGTTGATTACAGGTGTGAATTAACCATTATTTTTGTTAATTATTTATCAACCATTGAAATTCCATTACTCATAACACATTACGTTCACTTGATTTCAAGCATCATGTAAGCTTTGCTTTCTCTTCAAAAACTTTTTTATTCTGTTAAGCACTGCATCAGATGTTTTTTTTTTCTGTATAGCTCATATATTTCCTTTTTTTTTTATTATTATGCCAAGTCGCTTCAAAACGCATCTATTTAAGGAATGACTGTAATATTATTTCTGTTTATGAAGAAATAACATCAAACACGTGGGGCACACTGAAAAACCCGCGTAGTCATTCTTTATAATTTAATTATAAATTCCATTTTTAAGGAGTAAATTATGAAAAATACATTGATGACGTCAAGGTCACACGACAAAGTTATGTCTATGTGCTGATAGACAAAAAAAACTTTCAGTCAATCAGAAGACGTGTTACATCCAAAACTAAATTAAATAAAAATAAGGAGATGTGATATGATTGCCGATGAGACAACTATTCACCAAAGTTCAAATGAAGTAAGCTGTATATAATAGACAGATTGTTCCTATTAAGGTATTGGACACAAATTTAATGTTTTTTTGGTAAATGCCATACTTTTATGATTAAAGATAGACTGTAACGGTCAATTAAGGAATGACTGTAATATTTTTTCTGTCTATGAAGAAATAACATCAAAAATGTGGTGCACACTGAATAACCCCCGTAGCGCGGTTATTTTAAAGTGTGCACCACATTTTTTATGTTATTTCGGCACTGAAAAGGACTAATATTGTTTTCAGTGTAATAAAATAATAGGTTATGAGTTGTCCTGTTGGAATATCACTCAATTTTCTATACCATTATCTATATCCTCCCAACTCTTCAAAATACATTTTGTTTCCAAAACATCTATTGTAAGTCAATGCATTAAGGTAGATTACCTTATGAGTTATAATAAGCTCAGTTTATGTTTTTTTTTTTAGATGACGGCAAGAATTCTGGATGCACAGCTGTGATATCTACCTTAGTTATGTTAATACCTCTTGTTTGTATAATTCTGTAATAAATAAGATTGGTCTGTTTTAATTGATAATCATGCAGCCGTAATAATTTATACGACGAAGAGCTCCTGGTTTGACAGGAGTTGTCCAAAACTTTGAAATAATTTATCATATTGATATGTAACCCTCTCAAACGTGTCTATCTTTCAAATGTGTATTATCCCCCAAAACGTGTTCATTTCGCCTAAACCAGTCCACAAAATCATATCTCGCCAAAATATTTAATTTCAATCCCCCAAACGTTTCCAAGTATTTCCTTCGCTAAAACGTGTCTGACTGTTTCCTTGACCAAACGTGTACGACAATTGTTACCCGCCGAAACGTGTCCACCTTAAGACGCCAGAAAGTCTTAAAACTTTTAGCGCAAATATGTCCATTGTAACGTCAGTAAAGTCTACGGCAAATTCAATAATGAAATTTGAGGTCCAAAGACAAAACATTAAACTGTTATTCAATGCAGAGGTGATTTGAGCAGAATTTCCGGAGATTAAAATAGATACTGAGTAAAAAGAAAATAAAAAAATGGTGACCTCATTAAATTGCTGAGAAAATCAGAAGTTAAGACCCTCATACAGTTGGGTTTTATCTTATTTTTTGTATACAGGTGACATAATGTGTATTTGGGCAATTCGTGTGTTCTTATATACTAATAGTTTGGCATCGAGCATCACTTAATATTTATTTATTTTCTAAATGCTCATCTAATAAAGTAATAGAAATTGGTAGTGTAAAACGTTCTACACAGCAACCAATGCTGTAGGTCGGACGACACAAAAGTTCTGTCTATCTAGACTAGAGGGGGTTAAACGCCCTACACATACTGAAAATAAAAAGTCCGGGTACTGCACCATTCTGTGCCCCATTTGCTGCAAATCGTGGAACCCTGGTCCTTTAAAGAGCTACTGCCCTACTACCAATCCACTTTTTAAAATTAAATATTAACAGCATCCTTTAAAAATTCAATCAAGGAAGAACCTAATTTAGAATTTTCTTTTTGAGCACTTTTAGACCGGGTCTAAGGTCTCTGTAAAACGCACATTAAATAACTGAGAAGAAATGAGAAAAAATGAAAACTATCTGATAGTGTTATAGCTTGGTAATGTTCAAATTAATTTTTTATTTGACATTCTGTTCCCATTTTATCATCAAATCGTGGAACCTTGTCCTTTTAAAGTGCTACTACCCTACTACCCTTTTTTTTTAATATTAACGCACTCTTTGAAAAATACAACCATGCACTAACCTTAACTAATTTTTTTTCTTTCGGAGTACTTATAGATAGGGTTTACTGCTCCAACTATAATGTCTACTGGATTGTTTTTAAGCAACGAAAAACAAATATGTTAAACAGCAACAAACGACAACCACTGCATTACAGGCTCCTGAATTGGGACAGGCACATACATACAGAATATGGCGGGGTTAAACATGTTAGCGGGATTTTATAAATCTGTCTCCCGTGTCACTTGAAAAGAGATCGATACCAAGCACAAAAACGACTATCAAAAACACAAAAGGTATAAACATGAGAGTACTCGCACACCGGTACAGAAAGCTAATTCATTAATAGGTTGAATTGAAATACTCAATAAATGTTCGATTTTCAACATTTAAGTTTAAATGATATACTTTTACTAGGTTAAATTTGAAAACATTCCAAATCATAAATATCATAAATGTATCGCTTAAAATTACTACGGAACCCCTCAAATACGTAGGACTCGCATTTCATCTGCTGCGCTTCGGATCAAAATCTTAAAAACCCCAAAATACTTGATGTTCTGTGCACACCTCCATCTGTGCCCCTCTCCGTGACGTTCCTTCATTGTGGACGTCATAGGCGGTACAGTTGTTTTTTGTATACCCAAAATATGCCGTGGCAAAGTATTGAATCAGTGCGGCAGTGAAAGGGTATGTACAGCTAACAATTCTTCCATACAACAAATATAGTTGACCTATTGCTTATAGTTTAAGAAAAACAGACCAAAACACAAAAACTAAACACTGAGCAATGAACCTTGAAAATGAGGTCAAGGTCAAATAAAACCTGCGTGACTGACATAAAGATCATAAAATATTTTAATACACCAAATATAGTTGAACTTGCATATAGTATTAGAAAAAAAGACCAAAACTCAAAAACTTAACTTTGACCACTGAACCATGAAAATGAGGTCAAGGTCAGATGACACCTGCCAGCTAGACATGTACACCTTACAATCATTCCATACACCAAATATAGTAGACCTATTGCATACAGTATAAGAAAAACAGACCAAAACACAAAAACTTAACTATAACCACTGAACCATGAAAATGAGGTCAAGGTCAGATGACACCTGCCAGTTGGACATGTACACCTTACAGTCCTTCCATACACCGAATATACTAGACCTATTGCTTATAGTATCTGAGATATGGACTTGACCACCAAAACATAACCTTGTTCACTGATCCATGAAATGAGGTCGAGGTCAAGTGAAAACTGTCTGACGGGCATGAGGACCTTGCAAGGTACGCACATACACAATATAGTTATCCTATTACTCATAATAAGAGAGAATTTAACATTACAAAAAATCTTAACTTTTTTTTCAAGTAGTCACTGAACCATGAAAATGAGGTCAAGGACATTGGACATGAATAAGAATAAGAATAAGAATTTTAATAGTTTAAAATCAAAACAATAGGATTGTTACTAAATAAACAAACCAATACAAAACCAAAACAAAATTAACAAACAGACAGACAGACAGGCATATTAATGTGACTGACGGAAATTTCCTAACATGAGGCATCCATATACAAAGTATGAAGCATCCAGGTCTTCCACCTTCTAAAATATAAAGCTTTTAAGAAGTTAGCTAACGCCGCCGCCGCCGCCGGATCACTATCCCTATGTAGAGTTTTCTGCGACAAAAGTCGCAGGCTCGACAAAAACCGTTCTGCTTTTGAATATTAGCATATATATATATAATTCGTCTAACCAACAGCCCAACAATGTTAGATCTGTAAATTTGCGGAAGCAATTTTTTTGTTCTTCCCTGGCCGGGATTCGAACTCATGCTACTGAGATATCGTGGCACCAAATCGCCTTGCACTATGCCCGACGCGCTAGACCACTCGAGTGGCCGGGTGTTACCTTTCCTCGTCAGTTTTTATCTAGCGTCGTAACACAGTACATGATTTATAAGGCATGAAGATGGAATTGTTACAGATCAGCTGAATTATCTATTGTAAAGGATCCTACAAATTAATGTAAGATGCAGTCACAGAAATAATTATATTATAAGTACGTCTGAACCAGTGACGACTCTACAACAGATTTAATCATCGGATCACCAGCAGTGATGGTGATACAAGGCTGATAATATATTCTGTATATATAATTCGTCTAAACAACAGCCCAACAATGTTAGATCTGTAAATTTGCGGAAGCAAATTTTTTGTTCTTCCCTGGCCGGGAATATATATATTTGCCAAAAATTCATAACGCCAATAATCCAAGAAGACCCATCGTCTCAGCGAACAGTCATCCGACTGAAAAAATTCGGAATTTGTTGACTTCCATCTTCGTCAACATGTTGAAGACTTGCCATCTCACATCAAAGACACAACTGATTATCTTAGAAAAATACAGACCTAAAACACTCTTCCAGCCGACACCACACTTGTCTCTATGTGTGTCATCTCCCTTAACACGAATATTCCACGTACAGATTCTACAAGTTAATGGAACTGCTCTAGGTACCAACATGACTCCATTATATGCTAACATATTTATGAGCAAATTAGAAAAGCAACTCTTTGAATCTTCGATCGAAAATCCGCTTTCTTGGATTAGATTTATATATGGTGTGGATATGAAATGGAATAAAAGTGACGAGGATTTAGATACATTTATCACTCATTCCAACAACATACATCAAAGTATCAAATTTACTCATGAGAGATCAAAATCCAAAATCACCTTACTCGATATTTCCAGCTCCCTAACAGATGGCATGGTATCCACAGATCTTTATTCTTAGCCAACTGATACTCACCAATACCTGTCCCCAAAAAGTTGCCATCCGGCTCATTGTACTAAGAACATCCCGTACAGTCAGTCACTCATAGTCAAGCAAATATGTTCCTACACAGAAAAAACTAAAAAAACGACTGAGTCAAATCGAAACCCGCTTGTAGAAAAGGGCTATTAATATAAAACTATTTCAACAAGTTTTCAGAAAACGGAAAATATCACAAGGAGTAAACTGTTAGAATATAAAGATAAAAAGAAAAATAAAAGGACTCCATGTGTTCTTGATTACTACACATCTCTTAAAAACATCTTCGGTGTCATTCGTGAGCTTTGGAACAGTTCAAAAGAATTCCATACTATCCAAGATTTTTCCCGAGCCCCCATGATGGCTTTTAGGCAAACCAATAGTCTGCGGAACCTGCTGGTGCGGGCTGAAGTGTCTGACCCTAGAAGTACTTTTGGAGAATGTCGTTAGGCAAATGATGCCTACAGATGCATCATTCATCAACTTTTCATAGTAAGGCAACCGAAAATAACAATAGGATATTTTGCAATGTGACCTGCAAAAGTATGAATGTTATTTACATTCTAGAATGTTCGGTTTATGGCCTCCAATATGTTAGCCAGCATTTCAGATATTCGGATCATAAACTTGATGTCTTTAACCGCATGAAAATCCTAGTGATTGAACAGAAAATTCACTGGAGTGATGCCCAGCGACAGGTTCCTGAATGCTTCTGAATAAAGGAACTTAGTGTTCTTCATCTAAAAAGTTAAATCACAAAAATACTGAACTCCGAGGAAAATTCGAAACGGAAAGTCCCCAATCAAATGGCAAAATCAAAAGCACAAACACATAAAATGAATGGACAACAACTGTCATATTAATGACTTGGTACAGGCATTTTCTTATGTAGAAAATGGTGGATTGAACCTGGTTTTATAGCGCGTAACCTCTCACTTGTATGACAGTCGCATCAAATTCCATTATATTGACAACGATGCGTGAATAAAACAAACAGACATAATAGGTAAGAATGTCAAATTAGGGGTACAGCAGTCAACACCGTGTCACAATCTTAATCACAACAAAAACAAACAAATATTTAACAAAGAAGCACCAAAAAAGCATATATCACATTTAACAACCTCGTTCATTGCTTATTTATTTTTGTATTTTATTTATGTATGCCAAATCAACCCATAAAGGATCGAGGGATTTTAAGCACTGGGACCGAATCGTAATTTTAACATTAACACTGGCGTAGAATCGCGTGTTTGACGTCAGGATGTAAACGTCACACAGGTAGAGATATAAAATAATTTTGTCGTTCAAAGTATTCAAAAAATACAATAATATAATAAAAGGCATTAACAGGAAGTACAAGCGGTTTGAAAGAGGGGCACTTCTATCATTTTACATACACTTATACAAACTACTGCATTTTACAATTTGGGATGTATAGATATGCAGCAACGTTTATAAAGTATTGAGTTTTGTTTTACTTGATGAGTTTTAAGATTTCGGATTAAATTAATAGTCCAAAACTTACCTGTATTACTAAGCTAATTTATACGAACAACTAGTATTGTTAAAATTATTGACACTGTCGAAGGCTATTTGTTCAGCCGAAATATTTGTCTTCATAATTTTATAACATCATCTTCGTATATTACAATCTTATATTAGTATCGTTGCGCAAATCTTTAGACTTTTATATATATATATATATATAAACAAGTCTAAATTGAAAACAACGTTCAAACCTATGATTGCGTTGGATAAAAACCGCTTTATACGTGTGCATGCAAAACAAATTTCTTGGTAAAGGGGTCTAAATACAGCACAAACAAAATTTTGCAAAAGACCAAAAAAAGTGTATATTTTGTATATTTTAACAAAACGCATTTGACTAGCAGGTCGAACAACGGATGTTCTTAAACCCTGCTGACTGCCATTGTCGATTGCCAAATAAAATGATCACCAGATGTAACAAGATGGATCTTAAATATTAATTTAATATCAAACAGAAAACAATAAACTTGCGGAAAAGATGGTATACCGCAAACAAAAGGTGCAAAATTAGTACACCATATCCGGATTTCGACAATTGATGTCTCTTCAGTGATGTTAGGAATCGAAACGGTATTTGGAAGGCCATATAATTTACCTCAATTTAGGATATATATATCTATCTCTAGATTCGCCTTACGTGACAAAGTAACACTACGACTATTGAAGTTATATTTTTACATAGCGGATGTGGTCGTGTGGTCTAGAGCGCTGGACATGAGGCTAAGCGATTGGTGCTGTAGTGTATCAAAGGTGTGAGTTCGAATCCCGTTGAGGGACAAAAATTTGTCAGCATAAAAGTCTAATTCTAACATTGTTGGGTGTAATTTTCAGACTTATATATATATATATATATATATATACTGGTTGGTCCTTTTTATAGACTTCTATATATATATATATATATATATATAAACAAACTACTGACGACGTTCCTTACTTGTATATAAAATAAAGAGATGTGATAGTATTACCAGTGAGTCAACTGTCAACCATAGATTAAATGACGTAGATATTAGCAACTGAGTAATTTTGTATTCTGCTCTTCTCTACAAATTGTACGGATTACGGTCGTTAAGCTGATGACCCTCCAAACGATCCCCTCGTGAGTATGAAGGTCACATTAATTACAATAAGAAATAAATTTGACGAAACTTTTGTTAAATACTTTAGTGACAAACAGACAGACATACAAACACTTACGCTCTATGTATTATAAGGTATGAATAGAGAATGGAATAAACTAAGAAACATAAAATTTGCTGTTAAGGTTTTGTGAGAACTAATAACAGAAGACTGCATGTTAGGTTCACTATTTTAATGTTTGAATATATTATTCTCATACAATAATATATATAGGGCAACCACATTCTCTTTAGTTTTTATTTGTTTCTAAGTATCTTGGAAGCAGAAGATGATTGATATTGAAGTCTGCTCTGGTAATATTTCCTCGCCTATGATTATCAGCAGAAAATTCTAAAACAGCATTCATTGCAATTCCTAGCCTTCCAATGAACTCAACTGAAAAAGATGTAAAATTATCCCTGGCAGTATACATAAAATACAGAAAGGGATGACGCCCGTCACACTTTTTCAGTTTTAAACATCCCTCCGGGCGAATTCGAATCCGCTGATGTGAAGGCAAAAACATATCTCCCGATCTGTATGCCAAACTGTTATTAAGTTCTTTCTGCTTTAAAAGTACAGAATCTACACGTTGTTTCAAGCAACATTCAGCAATGAAATAAATAGTTTTGTCCGTTTTCTTTTGAAAAAACACCAAGACGTTACACAGCATGCGGTTACCATAAAATGCTTCTAATTCGTCCGTCAATATCGTCGTTAATTTCTTTTGATCGTGCTGATTTGGTTTAATTCTTGCAAACAGCACACTGAAATAACAAAATGAATTGATAGTTTTAACAACAAATAATCAAAACAGTCACACAGATCCAAGGAAACATATATTTCAAGAAAGCAGCCTGCCAAAAACTATAAAAGAAAATGAAAAATTTGTGATATTTGTTTTTGTATGGTGGTTTTTTTATAACGTTTTGTGTAATTGTATGTTTATATTCGGATATCCTGTAGCGACACATGTGATTAAAGTTAATATGAATCCGATTTAATTGATAAATAAACATTTAAGAGCAAATTCCATAACCGTCAACCAACTCGTGATGGCGTCCGTAAAATTTTCGAAGGGATGATTTCAACTACAAAATACATTTCAACTTCAAGATAGATTCCAAAAGAGAGGCAGCAACACGAACCCCACCAAAATCCTGCTCCACATATTATACCCGTCGTATTACTCCTGTGAAATAAATTGATAAGTAATATGAAGTTATTTGGCAACACGAAATAGCGGATTGGTGATTGACCCTAAGACATCACAAAATTCATAAACCAGCGGTCATGTAAATTTTCTAAGTTTAAACTTGACCGAAAGTGAAATTTTGAAATTGAAACAAATTTTTCATGACAAAGGATAGACCAGACGGTTACCGGTATAAACATCACAGACATCCAAAAAATAAAAGCACGAAGGACAACACTGAAAACTAAAGCAAGAGCAACAAGAACCCTTTTAAACAAAACAAGGGGTGATCTCAGGTGACAACTTTTAAAAACTCATCTAAGATACCAGGCTTATATTGTTACCTATTCTGACATCGGACTCGGACTTCTTTTAAAACTGAGTTTTACTGTGCGTATTGCTGTGTGTTTGTTTAATCTACATTGGCTAGGGGAATAGGGGGAGGGTTGAGATCTCACAAAACATGTTTTACCCCGCCGCATTTTTGCGCCTGTCCCAAGTCAGGAGCCTCTGGCCTTTGTTAATCTTGTATGTTTTTTAATTTAAGTTCATTTATGTGTTTTGGAGTTTAGTATGACGTCCATTTTCCCTTAACTAGTACACATTTTTGTTTGCTGAAGCCCGCCCCCGGGTGCGGGATTTTCTCGCTGTGTTAAAGACCCATAGGGGGCCTTCGGTTGTTCTTTGCTCTTTGGTCGGGTTGTTGTCTCTTTGACACATTCCCCATTTCCATTCTCAATTTTATTTATACTATAATTTAGTTTGGTACATCAGATGCACATTTGTCTAAATGAGACTCATCAGTGGAGCTCTAATCAAAACAGTTCGAAAGCTAAATAAAATACAACCAAAGCTTAAGAGCATTGGAATCAAAATTATCCAAAAAGTTGTGTCTACCATGTCAAAACCTAAGTTGTTCAAATAGTTCAACATTCTAAAAACGGTAAATGTACAGGACATCAATCCTATTTACTGTCGGCACAAAAAAAAAACAAAATACCTGACAAAACAGATATTCAATCCGATATACATATACAGCATTAACAGCAATCAAAAGAAGATCTAAATTAACCTTAATTAATACTAATATCCAATTTGGCTGTTAAGAAACAACAACAAACAAAAAACAAAAAAGATGAACGAACAATTCCGGTCCTGATGAAGAAAGGACGACAGAAAATCACAAATTCGTTTTGTTTTTCTCCTTTGGTATTAACATAAAAAAGGACGATAAAAATCTCCAATCCTTATACTCCAAAGTAAGAACTTTCTTAACAACCCGGCTATATATCGTTTTTTTAAGAATTTTGTTGAGATGTAAAATAAACTGTATAAAGATTGGAGATTTTCGTCGTCCTTTTTTATGTTAATACCAAAGGAGAAAAAACTATTTGAGATTTTCTGTCAACAGTGATAAAAACAATACCGTATTTTAATATTATATAAGACCTCTTATAAGAAACAATTCATTAGAAGAAAGAAAAAACACAACTGGTTGATTACTGCTTTCGAAATCTGTTTTCTTGTACCAGTGGAAAATATTTAGATTAACTTAAATCTTCGATTGAAATTAATTAGATTTATTTTCTGTAAACTACAACCATAATATGTTAAGGGTCAGGAATTAACGATTATATAAAATTGACAACATATTGTCAAGTTTTTAAAACGAAAAATGTAGGGTATACGTCAAAAAGAAGAAACCAAACATCACAAAATTGTTGATATGGTATTTCTCGACTCATATCAAGTTTTACTGGATTGGTGCTAACCAGGAAGCTTTTGACCCAAGGTTTCTTTATGATTAACTCGATTTACTTTCATGGACAGTTTTAGGGACTTCATCATGACTGCTTACCCGTTACATATGATTACATACGACTTCTGTGTCTTCAATATTTACCCATCAGAGTCCCGTATATGACCAGTATATTCCTTTGTGTCAGTTTTTTTACATGTTGGCAGAACTACGATTTCACTCTTATTGAAAACAATCATTTTCACGTTTGGATTATCTGAACCAACTGGCTCTTGGCTACTTTTCGTATCGCTGTTTAGTCTTGCAGATACACTGATGGGTCCTTTCAGTTGCGACTTGTTGAAATCTAATGTTATTTTGTGGCTTACGGCTTCGACCAATGTCTTAGAGTAAATGTCTTTGCTCTCAAGTTTTCCAATAGGTCTTTGTACCTAATAAGTATGTTATAGCAATATTTTATAAATAATGTTACCAATAGGATGTGAAAGGTTTGTGAATAGATTTGCAAGGTGTATATTATTTATTCTATTACGTCATAACACTTCCGGTGTAAGCTCAGATAGTATTGCGCAATTGCAACCTCAATGTGTTACTAACTTGGCTATCGAGCGGACGTGGTTTGTCTCAATGCGCAACCTCTAACGAAGATTTTCATAAAGTTATATTAAGTCAATGTGATTGACTTGTACAGATATATAATTTATAATGAATAACAGTATATGTCTTTACAAAGAGAATTTGTAAGCAAGTAAAGATTTTACAATTTCGTTTGTGAAACGAGATTATTATTTAAAAAAGATGGCGCACGCCATGCTGAACAAGGAGAAAGTAGAAAAAACTCCTTAGGTTTGATGAAGAAGAACTAGCATTAGAAGGAAAGGGTAAAGGTCTCGCCAAAAGAAAATGCTCAAAAACTATTGGTAAAAGTAGTACAGGTAGCGGTCCAAAGGTCAATAACAAGGACGCTGAAGGAAAGACCGTTGTAAACAAGGGCCACAAGGTGTCCGCTAGTACTTCAGATAGCAATAATAATGTAATTATCAATATGCTTACTGATATGAGAAATGAACAATTGTCACTCAAAAAAAGGTTGGAAGATCTGAACAAACGTATTGACGTTTTGTACAATGATGATGGTTATGATGAAGAGTATCATTGTGAAGTTGAAGAAGATGAAGATGTGGACAAGGTCCATGAAGTTGATGACGGTCATGATACTGGTACTAATGAACCACCTTGTAAGAAACAGAAAACTGCCACAAGCAGTGAATAGTCTAAGTTTTCCTACATGAATAAAAGATTCAGATCTGGTGAGAGATGTAGTGAAAAACTAGATGAACATCAAGCAGACAATATCACAGATATTTTCAGAAATGGAATTTCTGAAGAGAAATACAGAGAACTCATGAAAGATGAAAAAGAGTAATAGACCCGAGAATTGTAAAGGACTTGTACCAGACCAAACTGATCAGTTAGTATGGGACCTTATATGGCCCAGAACTAGAACTAATGACAATAGAATGAGACAGTGTCAAACTATTGTAGTCAGAGGGGCAACGTATCTGTCCAAAGTTGTAAATAGACTAGACAAAATTGCAGGAAAAGAATATACTCAAAACAAAGCTGAGTTGGTAGATGCAGAGGTGGGAGAGGGCCTGGTAGTGTCTCAAGGTAAAAAAAAACTCTCGTTGGACTCACAACAAATACATAAATTAGATTTTGTGAGTATAAACGAAAATGAATTTCAAGCAGGAAGATTGAAATTGTTTGTTAATGAATGGAGAAAATTAACATCTGATAAATACATTTTACATGCTGTTCAGCATTTTTATATAGAGTTTATAGACAATATTCCTCCTATACAAAATAAAATGTCAATTAGAAATTCTAAATTCAATTTAAAGGAAGAGAAAATTGTTGATATAGAAATTGAAAAATTATTAAAAATGAATGTATCTGAAGTTGAATCTGAAATAAATGAATTTATTTCCCAGTTTTTTGTAAGACCAAAAAAGAATGGTGAATACAGAATGATACTTAATTTGAAGAAATAAATAAACACATTGAATATCAAAATTGGAAAATGGATTCTTTTGAAAGCGCTTTAAATTTAATTAAAGAAAACTCATACATGTCAAGTGTAGATCTTAGACATGCTTATTATTCTGTGAACATTGCTGAACAGCATAGAAAATATTTAGGATGTGTTTGGAAAGAAAATTATTTTCAATATTCCTGCTTACCAAATGGTATAGCTAGGGCACCAAGGCTTTTTACCAAAATTATGAAAGTTGTATATGCAAGTTTGCGTAAAAAGGGTTTTGTTAATGTTGGATACACTGACGATTCACTACTATTAGGTGATACTGAACTTGAATGCAAAAATAATGTTACAAAAACTGTTAATTTGGTGTCAAGCCTTGGATTCATGGTAATCAAGATAAGTCAGTTTTTACTCCTAAAAAGCACATTAAGTTTTTAGGTTTTTGCATTGACTCAGAACAATGATAGTTACTTTACCAGTTGAAAAACAAAACACTATTGCTAAAGAAAGCAAACAATTAAAAATTAAAAATAAATGTAAAATTAGAGAAGTAGACAGAGTACTTTGGATACTCATATGTAGTCTCCCTGTTGTCGAATTTGGTAAGCTGTTTCACAGACAAATAGAGAACTAAAAAAAACAAAGCATTAAAATTAGCCATGGGAGATTTTGATTCTGGAATGTTTGTAACATCAGAAATGAAACAAGACATGCAGTGGTGATCAGAAAACATTTATAATCAAAAGAGGAAATTTAATGAAGCCTACCCACAGGTTACAATTCAGACAGACGCCTCAAATTTAGGTTGACGAGAAGTTTTGAACGAACTAAAAATTGGTAGCAGATGGAGCAAAGATGAAAATGATAATCATATTAATTGTTTAGAATTATTAGCTGTTTATTATACTCTGAAATCATTTAAGGACGATTTGCATACAGTTGAACATGTACAAATTCTTACAGACAATACAACTGCTGTAAGCTATATAAACAGTATAGGTGGTATAACGTCTATTGAATGCAAAACAATTGCTAGAAAAATTTGGATTTGGTGCATTGAACACCAAATATGGTTAACATCTACTCACATAACATGGACGTTAAATACAAAAACGCTCAATGGAGAAATTTAGATGATCAGATAGAATGGCAATTGAATAAAAACAATTCTGAAAAAGTATGTTTATTATGGAAGAAACCAGAAATAGATTTATTTGCTTCACATCTTAATACTCAGTTACCAATCTTTTGTTCATGGAAAGCTGATCCTGAATCACATTTTGTTGATGCTTTTACTCTTGATTGGGATAATCATACAGTTATATATTTCCTCCTTTCAGCATGATAGAACTGTGTAATGAAGAGTGTAATAGACATGGCATTTGTTATTTGTGGGACCACTTTGGCAAACCCAACCATGGTTTGTTCAAGTAATGGAACTGTTAATAAACAATCCATATGTGATGAAGGAAAATTTGAAACGTACTTTTGATATAAGGTCAGAAGAAGACTCATTAATATTAAGTTATATTAAACCGCATAAAAAAGTTAGTTGCTCAACTATTTCTAGATAGATCAAGTCCAGAATGTGCCGTGCAGGAATAGACACAAGTGTATTTAAAGCACACAGTACACGATCTGTATCTACTTCGAAGGCAAAGCAAATTAATGTGCCTGTTAGTGATATTTTAGCTTAAGCGGGTTGGTCAAGTTCTACGACCTATGGAAAATTTTATGACAAGACAGTAACTACAAGTGATGTTTTTGCAGCAAAAGTGTTACAAATTTGACTGTTTGATTTATGATTTAGTTTTTAATAAGAGTGATCAATTGATCTATGAGTGATACATAATGCATATCACTGGCATCTAGTCGTTGCCAAATTTTCTAAGTGTATCTTATGATCATTTGCATCGCTGGTATTCATTGTTACCAAATGGAAAAATAACATATTCAAAAGCACACCTGTCTATGAAGACATAGAATAACACTGGAGGTGTTAGATGCCACCTCCCACCCCATCATCTCTTACTATAGCGCTTGGCACATCTTTGTATATTTATGGTGTGTAGATGTACTTTACCAACATTTTTTTTTCACTGTAAATATTGAGGTTGCAGTTCCGCAATACTATCTCATCTAACACCTCCAGTGTTATTCTATGTCTTCATAGAATTACACTTGAACTTCAACTTAATCAAGTATCGTTACATTTGGTAATTAAATACTGAATTTGAAAATTTGAAAATCTAAAGTTTTTTCCTGTCTTCCTTAATAAATTATGTGCACTCAATCGAGAATTTAACTAGGTTTAGTACATGTACTTACTCAAACACATTGAGCAACAGCAATCTTTGTAAATGTGGTTTTCCATCTATATTTCAGATTAAAGATACGTTTTTAATTACTCTTTCTTTATGTTCAGAAAAGTTGCCATGTTGAAAAAAAATCTAAGATATAATTTTTTTTTCTGAATTGCATATATGTAATTATTTTTTTCCCTGAAATAAAAACTTGAATATTCAGTGTGAAAGTGGCGGGCAAACGATGCCAAAATCAAGCATAAGAACTCAACTTTAACGACTCTCAGTGAACTTATTCATGATTCTATGAACATATGAAACTCCCAGACAGACACATTTTAAAATGTTGTATTGGACGTGTCGTGTCATTCTAGGAATAAAACTTTCAAAACCAATTCTCTGGTAAATTATAGTATTTCGGAATGCTTCTAACAATATAACGGGAAATATGAAGGATAGTTATCGGCTCTTCTTATTTTTGGGTTTACCCGAATACTTGACTTCTTTATTAATGTGCTGGTCCCTATTTTCACCATCTGTACAGATATCCTCATATATGGTCATTATGACAATACTGCCTTTTGTGTTAGTTTTTTTGCTGTATATATCATAGTGTTACGGCCCTTTTACTTGCTAAGCAAGCCAACATAACGCATTGAAAAGAATTTAAATGACTATTTTGTTGATGTTTTTTAAATTCAAAAATTAAAAAACTACATACATTATAACTGTTTATAATTATGGAAATTTATGTAAATGTATCATTCCATGCTGCTGTGCAGAGCTCAATATTACTTTTATTTATCGCCGGGTGCACATAGTTAACTGAGATGGGGTGGTATTTTCACCCGAGTAATTAACCAATCAGACTGCAAGATTTATGCTTCATTACGAAAAATTAATAGAATATCTATTATTTTTACATGTTATCTTTTACCAAACAACGGTACACAGATGTAGATGTATTTTCAAAAGAATTTTGAAACATTTTTTCCGTTTTCTACATCTACCAAAATTGTGATATTTTTCTCAAAACATTAACAACAACGAAGAATGTAGCAAACATAATCTTCCGTGATAGTCAAAACATACGACTGTCAATCGAGTTGACAACAACTGTATCAGTACAGATTCTAATATTTAAATTTATGACAAAAAAGAATGGAGCATATATTTAAACAAATTGAGTCCTGTAAATACACAGAAAATGAACAGATTAAAGATAAAATTGATTTTTTTTTACCTTTTAAAGCAGGTCAATCTAAACTTTCTCTTGACGAAGTCATAACATAGAATAAATCTATAAATTGGCTCAAGTTTAACGTTACGGCCGCAGCCAAATATTGCCCGATTAAACATATAGCATAAAAACCGCCAAATATTTTGGAATCGAGTAGACAAAACAAAAAACTTTTGGGACAAGGATTTTTTCTACATACAAATCTTTTGAAGAAAATGTTGTAAACTCAACTAAATATTTGTGTTATATTAAAAGGCATACATGCAACATTCAAGCAAGGTAAATCGCGGAGAAAATTATAAAAAAAAAAAAACAGCTTGCCAGTCTAAGAATGAAATTTTAAAATACATACCATATACTCTATTTTCAGTTCTACATCTATACAGCCTTTTATAAAGTTAACAGTCATGCAATCGTCTCCTCCTGTTCTTATCACAGACCCCTCTGACTTTACGTCATGTTTAAATTTTTTTGGACGGGCCACAATCAAAAAGCTATTCATTCGACAGCATGGAAATTCAATGAAGTCAAACTGTAATTAAAATCATAAGATAAAATTTTATCATTATTACATCCGTAATTTCAAACATTTTGTAACAGCAAATTCTAATTATGCACATTCACACATGGATTTTTCTTACGAGTCCTTACTAATCGCACAATTTCACGGATTCGTACGATTTGGCCCTTTTTACGACAGATTTGTAAGAGTTGTTACGAGTTATTACGAGCTATGTACGGTTTATTACGGATTATTACAAGTTACTCCGATTTATTTACGACAAAAATCTACGATTTGTAACGAGTTGTCACAGATGACTACAAGCAAATTACGGGTATTTTACGAGTTTTTTCTAATTGTTATGAGTATATAATGGAATTTTATTATTCATTGAAGCTGTAAGGTGTTAGTAACTACCTGTTTACGTGTTGTTACGAATAGTCACGAGTATTTACGAATCCTTACGATTTTGCAGCTTTAATGGCTTTTCCTAATTCGTAAACAATACTTAAGAATACGTAAAGTATACGTATCCATTCGTAAAGTACTACACATAAAATGCTCGTAATAACTCGTATCAACCGATAAAGAGGTCGGAACTTGACTTGAATGAAATCGTAAGCACTCGAAATAATCATGATAATCCGTAAACAAATCGTAAACTAACCGTAACAACTGATAAAACAATTGTTATGAGTCATTTACGGATGATTACGTGTTATTGTGAGCTGTTTACGATACTTACTTAATGCTAAGAGCTATTTACGTAAAAACAATCCGTGAACTATCGTAAGAAGATTTTTGAGATGTCAAAAATTTTTCACGGATCCTTAAAAGTGTATGCAAGTTGTGACGAATTATTTACGGATACCAGCGAGTTATTCACGGATGCTTGCGATTGTCTACGAGTTTGCAATTCGTCAGGACAAATCCGTGTATGTGAAGGCATAACACAATTCGTAACATTCAGACAAAAAAAGGGGGAACATGTTTAGCTTGTTCAAGAGATAAGTACTATTATACACACGGGTAGTAAAGTCGTCTTAGTACAGTGATTTTGTCATGATTTGGTCCAGTTGGTCATGATTTGGTTCAGTATTTCTGAATGACAAACAATAACAAATGTAAACATTGGATTATGTCCTTAAAGATGTACTGAAGATAAGGTAAGTAGCTTTGTTATAGCTATTATGATTGTAAATGCATTTTTTTTTATTATAAAGGTAATAATATGCAAAATATAACGCTTGCCTACGAAAATGTTAAAAGTAAGGTAATGCGGTTTCACACATATTTTTTTTTCTCTTTCTGCGTGTTACAACACATTATTTGCTATAATTCACAATTGCTTTTAAACATTCTGTAAAAATGGAACCTTATGCAAATAATTGTAATATGAAAATTTAGTGTCATGGTTTGGTAAAGTAATGTCAAAGTTGTGTCCATGTTCACCATGGTTCAGTTCTGTTTTTTTTATAACATACGCTATGAAAAAAGAAAAATGGATATGACAAGCAAGGAGAGGCTAAAATATTCATAGAAGTTTGTGCAGAAGAGACGTCCGACGAACACGTATCGGAAATATTAAAGTATTTGTAAGTTTCATTGGCAATTATTTTACTGACTTGTTTATAGCTTATGTGAAGATGTTACAAAAATAATTACCTTTACATATGCTGGCACCTCCTTCCATTTGTTCTCTCCATCTTCAATAAGCGCCCAGTAATCGTTTATGTCGCTGTCCTTTACGAACGAATGGTATACCGGAACTTGAAGGTACACTTTCTTCTTATATTTATCACGGACAGAAAATACGCACTGGTTTTCTTTACAACGTTTAGTTTCTGATGGATCAGTCAATTCTTCTAAACCGGGTGTATCCGATTGGCTTACCAGTCTATAGATGTCCGTCACCAGCGTGATATGATTTGGAAGACTTACATCATTGAGATAGGTATTTCTTTCCTCAGACGTCCAATTTTCCACTTTGAAACATTTAAATGGTGCTGAAAGTTCTGGTTCTGTCCGTAATCTGATCCCTTGTCCTAAAACTACAACACCGTGTCCTTCAACGTAATACAAAAAATCATTCAAAACTTTTGGATCGTCTAAATGCTCATCATTCCTGGTGGTGGGTGGTGGTGATGGTCGTTCTGGACTTTTTCCTCTCTTGAATCAAAACACATGACACAATTAAAGAAATTTGTTAACTTTTGTAAGCTTACATATAATTTAGGCGTGGTTTATTCGTGTAAAGAAGCTCGTGTCTGCATGTGCGACTCTTATTGGTTGTTCCTTATTTAGAAGAGATACACGTGGCAGAACTCAGCTTTGATAATTCTGTTTGGAAAGAAGGACGCTATTTTATATTGTAAAGCAAATTGTTTAATTGTGCTATACCATAACAGTACTGTATGCCTCTGTTCTTTTATTCTACGATTGAGAGATTTTATATATTTATCGTCTTATAGATTGGAACATGAACTTAATTGTGTAAGCTTTGATTTGGAGTTTAGTATGGCGTCCATTATCACTGAACTAGTATACATATTTGTTTAGGGGCCAACTGAAGGACGCCTCCGGGTGCGGGAGTTTCTCGCTGCATTGAAGACCCATTGGTGGCCTTCGGCTGTTGTCTGATCTATGGTCGGGTTTTTGTCTCTTTGACACATTCCCCATTTCCATTCTCAATTTTATTTGATTTAGTTTCCTTCCTTGGATTTAAGTAAACTTGGATATTCGTATTCCTTTTTCACACGTGAGTGGGATCTTTTCTTTAACATTATAATCAAGTCCTTTCTATTAACATTATGGCTACCAGAAATTCGAAGAGACAATTAAACAAAAAAGAAAAATTCCTTACGAACGTCCGTCTGAAGACGCCAAAGAGGACCCATCAAGGTGGAGTGAGACAAAACTAATCCAGGAATTAAAGGAGATTGATATAGAAGTTCCTGCCGACCTTAGTTAGCCCATTATCTTACAACTATTCAACAGTAACATTAAATCCAAAAGAAAGGAGGCAACCTTAATTGAAAATGAAACATAAGTAAATCCGTATATCGGAACCCAACAACCAACCCCACCTCCCCGGAGCAACGCCCAGTCATCAACCCAGAACCGGAGGCTATTCCGATAAGTAACATGTGTAATGCGTTCGTCTCCATTTCCCAATGCTTTACGGGTTTACAAAGTACTGTTACCCAACTTCTTTTGAGGAATCCTATAGAAAAGCAGCAAAACACAATCAAAGACGGATTTACCCTTCAAAATTGGTACAACCAGTATAGTACTGTTGACAACGCTACTATTTCTCATTCCGGAATTCAGGAGAATTGTGTATCCGTAGACATCAACAAAGGAGCCAGATCCGACGATTTTAACAACATAGATATTGTATATTCATCACTGCATCGACAGATTATTGACGGTAAGGATGTTAATATTGCTGCCTTACTTATTCCAAATTATGAATGCTCACAATCGCATATCGTAATCGCTGACAGCATTGAGGTTAATCTCCCAGGGAAACCCGACATAAGATTAAACCGTACACTGACCATCCAGGAATTTATCAAAGCATTCGACAAATACAAAAGAATTATGTCAAAAGCCTATCCAGAAAGACGCGCCGAACTAGATGCCTACGAAGAAGATAAGAGGGTGTACAAAACGCACCTGTTCTTTCTCACATGTTTGCACCAAATGCCGTTCGCCAGGACATTCACAGGCTCTTTGTGGGAAACGCCCATCAGCAACGTTTTCGTCCAATCAGACAGCTCCGGTTGACAAACAAAAAATGTGACTAACTAAATTTGATGTGCACTCTACTACCCCGGTCAATGTCAAACAGCTAAAACGTGGACTAATGAGTCATCCCGACAAACATTTCGTTGATTATTTATGTAATGGGTTACAATATGGCTTTGATACTATGGTTAAATATGACAACATTAAAACAATGGAATGTAGAAATAATTTAAGTGCTAGGTCACAGAAAGATACAGTTTCAGATCTTATTAATTAAGAACTATGTAACGGTTTCGTATATGGTCCATTTGAAAATTTACATTATGATGGTTATCGAGTTAGTCCGATGGGAGTTGCGGAGGGTAAATATTCTTTCAAAAAGCGACTTATTACGCGATTCGTCTCATTACCAAATACGGAAAAGGGACAAAACTCTGTAAGTTCGACATTCAAAATGCATTTAAAATATGTCCAGTGGCACCGAATCAATGGCCATTATTTTTTTTTAAATGGGAATCTCTTTATTATTTTATGTGCGATTGTCATTCGGATGCCGTAGAAGCCCAAAAATATTTGACAATATCTCTACAGCAATTCGTTTTATAGCAGAACATAAGTACAAAGTTAAACATATTCTACATTTACTGGATTACTTCCTTACTGTTGACCCTCCAGAGTTCGATGCTGAAAGAACAATGGCGTTAATGACCATGCTATTTAATCGATTAAATGTTCCACTTGCGGCAAACAAAAACATGGGCCCACTTATGTGAGTTGAATATCTTGGTTTTGTGTTAGATACAGATAAATTAGAAGCTAGATTACCTGCAAACAAAGTAGGAAGAATTTGCAAATTTATAATTTCCATAATTCAAAAGTCAACATAATTATACGAAAAGAGAATTACTTCAACTTTTAGGCCATTTGAACTTTGCATCACGTGTTATTGTGCCTGGTAGATCTTTTGTTTCCTATCTTATAAAATTATCAACTAAGGTAAAAGAACTTCATTTCTATGTAAATTTGCGTAAGGAATGTCGAGTTGACTTAGAATTTTGGCTCCAATCTCTACATAATTGGAACGGAATAAACATGTTTTACGACTCCAATTACACTTCTAACTTCGATATGCAACTATACACCGATGCCTCTTCTACAATTGGGTACGGAGGTTTTTCTCAAGGAAAATGGTTTTGCTCGACATGGCCAAAAGAATTACCTTCTTTAAACGATAAATCGTTATCCATGGCATTTCTAGAACTATATCCGATAGTAGTAGCTGCTCTTTTATAGGGTAAAGAATGGAAATGCAAGAAATTCCTCTTTCTTTGTGACAATGAGGCTACTGTAGCAATTGTTAAAAAGGGAAGATCAAAATGTATCGAAATTATGAAGCTTATGCGACAGTTAACGTGGTGCGCATGTGTAAACAACTTCCAGGTAAAAAACATAGTGATAACATTAGTGACGCTTTATCTCGTTTGCAGATGGAAAAATTCCACCGCCTCGCTCCACACGCAGAGAAGCTTCCACACAACTGTCCGAGTGTCTACGAAGTAATGTGGTGTTGAATGAAACAGTCGAACAATCATGGACACATGTTGTTGCTAATACAACAAGATCTTTGTATAATATAGGTTTTTCTCACTTTGTTAGATTTTTTTTTGCTGAATGGTATTACATATAATTCACATGATCTACCTCTTATATCAGAGAACGTACTCATCTACTTTATAGCACATTGTTTTAAAGTTTTGAAACTCAAACACACTACTATAAAACTTTATTTATGTGGTATAAGACATGCTTATTTGAAGTCAGGATATCATAATCCTCTAGAAACGCTTCTTGGCGAATTCTTACCAAGACTCACTCTGATTTTAAAATCTGTTAAACGCATGCAAGGTTCACAAACTAGAACTAGGTTGCCGATTACTTTTCCAATTTTACAGGAATTTTGCCTCAGACTGAGAAGGGGCGTGTATATATTGATTGTTTAATAGAAACAACTTGCATAGTTGCGTATTTTGCTTTTTTGAGATGTGGAGAATTTACCGTCATGAATGCCGATAAGTTTGACCCTTTAACTAGCTTGTGCATATCTGATATTAAAGATTGATCATGCATGATATGCTCCGACTTAAAGAGTCTAAAACTGATAAATTCCGAAAGGGAATAGATATTAAACTTTTTAAAATAAATAACTCTATTTGCCCTTTTTTTGCTTTAAAGAGATATTTAAGTATTAGGCATTCAGAATTTGGAATTGTGTTTCCATCTGATCCGCTTTCTATAACAGGTAAAAAGGAAGCTTTAACTAGACAATTTTTTCAAGTTGAATTGAAGAATATTTTAGAACTTTGCGGTTATGACCCAAACTTGTATAATGGTCATTCTTCAAGTCAGATCGGGTGCCGCAACTAGTGCGGGAAAAGCACGCGTAGAAGATCATATGATCAAAGTACTTGGTCGATGAAATCGGATAGTTATTGTAGATATATAGATTTCTCCAACTTCTATAAAATATGCTCAACAAAGTTTAACTGAGTTTTGAAGTTTTTTTTCACATTTGTATATACTCAATGTGTAATATAGAATTGTTTACTTATGTATATTCATACGCTTTTTTCAATTAAAATTTATGAAAATTATCAAACTTAAGGATACTTTTCACCGAAGGCGTACTTGTCATGAGCCACCTGACGGGTACCCCTAGGGAAGCAGGACTCCTTACTTATCCTTCCTGTTCACCTTGAGTCCATGTCGCTTTTGATGAATTTTTTCCATTTTTTGGTTTTCTGTTAAATGTTTTGTGTTATATTTTGTTTTGCCATGGTATTTGTTGTCTTACAAAGAGAATATTCTGGATTCGCCTATGTATTACAGATACAACGACAACATTTATGGTGTTTGTATATTGTCAAGTCTCAGTTCTAGTCATATCAACAAATCAGAATTAATTAATTCCTCTGCACGTCGCAATAGGAGTCAAAGCCATCGCAAATATATAACATATGCCGTGTCTTTGGATAGTCTCTTTTCAAATCCTGTGCTAATTCACCACATTCGTACCAAATTGTTTTCAATACCGTTATCCAAGTTAAAGTTACTATGTAAAGATACCAAAGTCTCTTCTTTTATTTATAAAACTTCATATATACAGACTGGTATCATCTTGATCTTTTTGTTGATACTGACACAGGAATAGTCATTTGATCTGTAAATTTCTTGATTATGTTCTGTTTTTATTAGAAAATGTCACTTATTGTACAGCTGGAGACATTTGCCCAGTCGACACAACCGGTCTCGCTCCATTTTGAGTTAACGCGATCTCTCAGTTGTTTTTTTTTTTAGTGATTTAATTGTATATTAAAAGTTTTGAATATCGGTATACTACTGTTGCTCCTTACTTATCTATATTCAACGTATATTTCGTATTTTAGAAAAGAATTAGACGCAATTTAAGGATATTTTTTATCCGAAAAATCTTTTGTTTAAAGTTTTACTTGATTTTAGTGTTGTACACTTTTCGAACGTATTTTTTTACTTATTTATTGGGTAGGTCGTTCTTAAAATAATTACTCGGCAGTTTCTTCATTAAGACTTATTCTAATACGTTGTTACAATTCCTGGATGTCAAAGTAAGTTGGATTTTTTACTGTATTTCGTTATGGACAGGAATAATTTTGTCGATAAAGTAAACATAAACTTATGTTTAGTAACAATGTATCATGGTTTACACTGTAAGAATATATTTTTACTTAAAATTAAAAATGCTACTTCATTACCTTTATCGTGCTTTTTTCTTGCTTCGTGTTTGAGGGTCCAAATATACGTGAAAACATAATACAGTACTTAGGTTTTATCTTTACACATCCAAAACCAAATTCTTCCTGATTGGAAACGTAATCGATGATTTAACATTAAGACTTAGCTGGATAGCATTCTTAATTGATTAAACTATAACTGTGATAATGACTATTTAAATGACAATTATAGTAATCTATATATACTGTGTTTAAAATGTCATTATGGTACGACTTCCATGCTCACAAGGTTCAAGTTTTAAATTATCGATAGACAAATTGTGTTGATAAAATTCCAATACGTTAAAGTATTTTTACAGTAAAATCATCATTTCATCACAACATGCTAGCGTTTATGCTTACATGTAATATTCGTTTCATTTCTTATGATCCTTTTAAAAAAAAATTAAACGTGCTGTTGTTCGGTCAACATCGACAGATTGTTTGATTTTATAACAATAGATTTTTATTGTTTGTTTTAATTCGCAAGTATCTTTGAAGGATATGTGAATTTTGAAAATAGACAAAATCAATATGTTTTCCATTGCTTTAAACGATTCGGTTTATCAAGATAGATACAGATGAATTTTATACTTATTCAAAATGTAAAAAAAAAAAAGCTAATCACACACACACACACATGCAGAAGAGCTATTCTAATATTTGAAAAATTATCTGTATTACGAAAATTTTGTGGAAAAGTAAGAACTGGCTTATTGAACCTTTCATTCCTTTTGTTTCAGTGGTAAAAATAACACTCACTCGTCAAAAACAATGGTCATTTATATTTGATTTGATTTTGATTTTTGGTGTTTTAACGCCACTTTTAAGCACCGCTTTTGGGCTATTTCGTGGCGGCCAGTTTTTATTGGTGGAGGAAGCCGGAGTGTCCGGAGAAAACCACCGACCTTCGATAGGAAAACTGACAATCCTAGTCAATTAAGATTGGAGTCGAGTGCACCCGCACGAGCGGGGTTCGAACTCACAACCTCAGTGTTGACTGGCTAGTGATGGTCATTTATATAACTGTAAAAGTGTTTGTAAACACAAATAAAAATTAATCCGTTTTCAGATACCAAGTTTTTCATATAAAGGATATAATTTTATTTTACAGACTAAATTTTTCAGATAAGAAATTTCAACAAAGTTAAATTATGACATAAAAGTATAAAACCATTATTTAAGTTCAGAGTTTTGTTACACAATAAAATTTACGTTCTGACTTATTACACACAGACAAACTCTCAAAAGGTAAAGGTGACGCAAATAAATGATAAATTCATCCAATCGAATAGCATAAGATTCATTATTATTCTGGGTTCTTCAATATTCTCAATACCGTATGCGGACTTCCTTAGATGTCTTATTTCGGCATATACGGTTTTTCCTATGATTCATTCTGAATGGCCAATGAGAAACAAGTTTCCCCAGAAGCAAACTTCTTTACAGCACCTTAACACGAACAGGTTCTTCTGGCGGTACAGACCGGAGGATTTTCAATTCACGGAGAAACTCCTCGTCGACCTTAATGTCGAGATCACCATACCTCGTGACGTGTTCCAGAATTATGGAATTCAAAGTTGATACTAAAATGATAACTGATTCCATATTCCATATCTCTGTGGAGAGTTATGAGTCCCGGCAAACACTCAAATATGAGACCGGTCGTTAAAACAGATATTTAGGCCGTTGGCTTTTTCTCTTGAATTGTTTCACATTTTGTCATGTGGAGACCTTTTATAGCGGACTATTTACGGTATGCATTTTGCTCATTGTTGGAGACCGTGCACTGAAACATAGTTTCTTAAATCATTTTGGACACTGTTGGTAGTTGTCTCATTGGCAATCATACCAAATCTCCTTATTTCATATTACAACATTTTCTATCCAGGTCAATAATGTTTCACATTGGAAGGGTTTTAATGCTTAATACCAAGTGCTTCGTGTTAAATTTATAGCCGACACGCAATTTTTTGAAAACTACTTCGTCGAATTTCATAACGACCTCCATTTTGTGTCAAGGTGACCTGGTGTTATATTTGAAGTGAAGCTTGCGAAATAGAAAATGCTTCACCAGGACACCAGACTATACCTCTTATACGGAATAGGTAGATCCAAACACTTCACATTAACTTTTAAAAGAATTAAGGTAGAATCAATAGTACATGTCAAGAAACTGACTGACGAAAGATAGAAATATAGGTATTAAATCTATTGGCAGGATTTTACTAGACCACTAACAAAGATAAAATAAAATTATTTTGAACAAAATATTTTTCCAACTAAAATAACATTGGAACAGATGGATCAAGTGATCCCTGCTATTGAGTAATAGAATCCTACATTAACCTATCAGAAAATAATAAGCACAGTAAAACAACATCAAACGAATTCACCTATCACAGATTATTTAACTGTACGAGTTTTACAACGGTCACTTTGTATTTTCTTTTTACAACATATAGGAAAAAGGGTAGATTTGTGTGCACAGGAAACTGGTTTAACCCCACCACAATTCCTTGAATGTACTAAATATAATTTATGCTTTCTTATAGAAAGGTAGAAAGTGTGCTTCTATGCACATGCAGGCGGTGTAAGAAACAGATGATCAAACCATTTCCCATTTTGTTGAAATTCTGTTAAAAGACCAATATAAAAATAAGAAGATGTTGCATGTTTGCCAATAAGACAGTTATCCATCGATGATCAAATAGCCAAGACGTAACCAACTATAGGTCAACCTTCAACAATAGAAAAACAAAGGATATGGGGTATCCATCCATGACACAAAATCAGTACATGCACAGCAAAAAAACACACAACAAGCAAAGGAACAGTGCTTTTATTGCTGTTCTTCATTTCAAAGTCACAGTGAGGCCTTAAACACGGAGCATAAAAACCTCTCACCTCACTGCAAGTTTAAGACGGCCCCTAGCACCAGCTTGAGCGGAATTCTTTGCAAAAATAAATTTGGATAGACTTATAAATATAGATTTATTTCGTCTTCAAGCCATTGTTCCACTACTAAACTATCTATTCTACTTACTAGTACACTTGGTACAATCAAAAACCTGGTAATAAATTGTTGAAATAAGGCCTTTGAAAATAGTGGAATTAATTACTTTTGGGGTGTCAAAAATTCGTTGGAAGTACTTGATAAATTGCATGCTTATATTGGTGATTTTGAATCTGTTCAAAGTTTTGATTTTTCTACCCTATATACCACTTTGCCTCATAATCTAATTAAGAAACAATTCACACACCTGATTAAATGGGCATTTAAAAAGTCGGAATGCGAATATATATGTTCGAACTCTTTTAGGTCATTTTTTTAGTAACAACAAACAAAAGAACTATGTCAATTGGACTTGCTTTGATACTATAACTGCCCTTGAATTTTTACTAGATAACATTTTTGTTCGCTATTGAGATTCCGTATATCGTCAGGTTATCGGAATTTCTATGGGAACTAACTGTGCACCACTTATTGCAGACCTGTTTCTGTATTGTTATTAGTTACAATTTATGACTAAGATCAGCAAATACCCATCGAAACAACATCTGATTCAAAAATTTAATAACACTTTTAGATATTTAGATGATATATTGGCTCTCAATAATGACGACTTCAGTATGTACACTAAAGAGATTTATCCTGCTGAACTGACTTAAAATAAAGCTAATACTAAACACTGCCCTTTTCTAGACCTTGATATCTATATCTTTAACGGGAAGCTTAATACCAAAATTTATGATAAAAGAGATGATTGTTCATTTCCTATTGTTAATTATCCATTTTTAGATGGTGACGTTCCCTTGTCACCATCTTATGGTGTTTATATATCTCAACTTGTTCGATTCGCTCGTGTATGTAACAACGTATTTGATTTCAACGAAAGAAATATCTGTATTACTGAAAAATTATTACACCAGGGTTTTCGATATCACAAACTAGTCAAAACATTTACTAAATTTTATCATCGGTACAAGGACATCATTCGTAAATATAAATCATCATGCAGACATCTTATACGTTCAGGTATTTCACATCCAATATTTTATGGTAATATTCTTTACAAAGCACAAAAATGTCGGCATTCACCTCAAAAGCTAAGTAAACCTTTAAACAGACTTATTCGGAAGGGATATAGTTACGATACTGTTGTCAGGTCATTAAGGATTGCATATTTTGGTATTAATATTGATTCACTCATAGGGTCTTTGCATCGGAAATAAACATTTATTCTAAAACCAGTTGTTGGCATGATACGGGTTATGTTCTTCCCATATATTTTATGATGGTATGATACTAATCCCCTAACGGGAGGGATTGTGCCTGATTTTCATATGATGAAGACATAATCTTTCAATCAGTTTAATTGAGGTCTGGAGCTGGCATTTCAGCAATTGCTAGTAGTCCTTAGTTAATTTATCATGTATCATTGTCATTTTGCTTAGTTTCTTTTGTTACCTATTCTGACATCGGACTCGGACTTCTTTTAAACTGAGTTTTACTGTGCGTATTGCTATGTGTTTCTTTATTCTACACTGGCTAGAGGTATAGGGGGAGGGTTGAGATCTCACAAAACATGTTTAACCCCGCCGCATTTTTGCGCCTGTCCCAAGTCAGGAGCCTCTAGCCTTTGTTAGTCTTGTATGTTTTTTTTTAATTTTAGTTCCTTTATATGTTTTGGAGTTTAGTGTGACGTCCATTTTCACTGAACCAGTACACAGTTTTATTTAGGGGCCAGCTGAGGACCACCTCCGGGTGCGGGATTTCTCGCTGCGTTGAAGACCCATTGGTGGCCTTCGGCTGTTATCTGCTCTTAGGTCTGGTTTTTGTCTCTTTGACAAATTCCCCATTTCCCTTCTCAATTGTATTTGTAAGATGTAACACCACCTGATCGGGCCCAGTCAAAAAAGAACATACTGGAAAGTAGTACATGTTTAAATCAAAATAGTTCCTACGCATAGGTGTAAATCTAAAACTATGTAGCATATATTTTAGTAATTAAGGTATCAGATGAAAGGTGAAGGACTGGTGATCCTTGTAGAACACTGTTTATGCCAATGTTGACTTTACAAGACTGCTTATGCCAATGCTGAGCACCTAGTAAAAGTTTTTTTTTTATCTTAAACTAGTAAACAATTCGTAACACAGACTGATTCCTTAAACATCATGTAGGGACAACTTGACATTTTTCATATCCACTAAAACAGCTTGAGTTTGAGTATCCTGACTTTTTGTCAAAATATACTTATTTGTTACTGCGGAAAGCTTACTAGGGTTATAGGAAATAAAGTTGTATGAAATTATTTATGTTACATTTTTAAATAAAATACTTTATATGCTATGGGCATACATGCATGGTATTAAAGATTTAAGTTTAAGTTAAAGTTCACATTAAAATCCATATGCTGCATTATTGTTCGTATCGTGCTAGTGTCGGGTTTGATAATATAAGACCTCCATCGATTGAGTGTTTACTTTCTGTTTTGGAAAGGACGGTCTTACAATCAGCCGAACAGTGTGTTGAGGAAGCGCCCTGATCTACATCCGCTTCAATAGATTTCAAATCACTGCTTTTGGTAATTTTAACATTATCTATTTTAGTGTCTTCCTTAGATGGGTTTTCTTCAGGGTCGTGTCGATTTCGATGAAATGTCAAACTATCTAAATTGAATTCAATTTTCGTTATTTCTGTATAGTTTCTGCTATGTGTGTTTGTTGAAAAGCATAATATTGCATTTGGTGATCCCCCCATTATTCTGTTTATTTTAACCTGGAATGTTAAAGAATTGTCACTTGAGACTGACAGGAAAAGCATCCATAAATGAGAACCATTGCCTGGTTTTAATCCGATACATCCTGCCGGACGAATTTTTAATCGTTGGTATGGTGTTAAAAATAAATTCTCAGATTTATGAATAAGAAAGTTCCCCTCTTGATGTTTCTTAATTTTTAGTAACTTGGTCTGTTCTGTGCGACAACAGATGACCCTTAGCCGTAATGTTGATGAATTTCTTTTCAGAAAATAAACTAAAATGCTACCCAATATTCTACTGCCATAAAACAAATTCAATTCATTTGTCAACTCTGTCTTGGAAATTTTGTCTTCTTTAGTCTTTAGTACTGCTGCCAAAGATACTCTACAAAATATGCCACATAGAATATCAGTTATTATTGTCAAAACGTCAAATATAAACTTTTGTAATCGCATTTACCATGTTTTATGCGAGCTCTACTAACTGTCATTTTAAATTGAGTACTAGTGTGAATTAATGTTTTCGACATTTTTATCAATCCTCCCCTTATTTGAATATATATATATATATATATATATATACAAGTCTAAATTGATAGACTCTTGAATTTTTGAGGAGTCAAATTGGATGAACGGATCATATAAACCCGAAGGCAAATATAATAAAAGCCCAAACGAAAAAATATAAACAAGTCTAAATTGAAAACAACGTTCAAACCTATGATTGCGTTGGATAAAAACCGCAATTTTTAAACCTTTCTAAAATTGTCCGTTTATAAATTTTGTAATTATAAAGAAACTAAGGTTTCAACTCCCTCAGGCAAAGTTGATCTATGATGAATTTGGCTATTTGTTTTATGTATTTTTGTCATATAGCTCTTCAACTGTTTCGGTACTTATACATCCCTCGGATTTCAAATGTTTGGCTTTGAGCGTTCCTGATGAAGGTAAATCCAGAAAAGCGCTTCGGACGCATGAAATTATTAAACGTGTAGTTTTCAATTTTTTAAATCACTGAGTCGATACCTCTGCTGGTGGACTATCAGTCCCCGAGGGTATCATCAGCTCAGTAGTCAGTACTTCGGTACTGACATGATTTATAACAAACCTTTCTAAAATTGTTCGTTTATAAATTTTGAAATCATAAAGAAACTAAGGTTTCAACTCCCTCAGGCAAAGTTGATCTTAGATGAATTTGGCTATTTGTTTTATGTATTTTTGTCATATAGCTCTTCAACTGTTTCGGTACTTATACATACCTCGGATTTCAAATGTTTGGCTTTGAACGTTCCTGATGAAGGTAAATCCAGAAATGCGCTTCGGACGCATGAAATTATTAAACGTGTTGTTTTCAATTTTTTATACGTGTGCATGCAAAACAAATTACTTGTTAGAAGGGTCTAAATACAGCACAAACAACATTTTCCAAAAGACCAAAAAAAGTGAAAAGGTATATTTCAACAAAACGCATCTGACTAACAGGTCTAACAACAAATGTTCTTAAACCCTGCTGACTGCCATTGGCGATTGCCAAATAAACGGATCACCGATGTAATAAATGGATCTTAATTATAAATTTAATACTAAACAGAAAACAATAAACTTGCGGAAAAGATGATATACCGCAAACGAAAGGTGCAAAAATTAGTACACCATAGACGGATTTCGACAATTAAAGTCTCTTCAGTGATGTTAGGAATCGAAACGGTATTTGGAAAGCCATACAATTTACCTCAATTTAGGATAGACTCTTGAATTCAAATACCGTTTCGATTCCTAACATCACTGAAGAGACATTAAATGTCGAAATCCGGATATGGTGTACAAAAACCTTTGCACCTTTTGTTTGCGGTATATCATCTTTTCCGCAAGTTTATTGTTTTCTGTTTAGTATTAAATTATAATTAAGATCCATTTATTACATCGGTGATCCGTTTATTTGGCAATCGCCAATGGCAGTCAACAGGGTTTAAGAACATTTGTTTTTCGACCTGTTAGTTAAATGCGTTTTGTTAAAATATACTTTTTCACTTTTTTGGTATTTTGGAAAATGTTGTTTGTGCTGTATATATATATATATATATATAACGCAATCATAGGTTTGAACGTTGTTTTCAATTTAGACTTGTATATATATATAATTTATATATATATATATATGTATTTGATGTGGCGGCATGGTAATTAACATTATTATCCTTTACGACAGACAAAATAGCTGATCTTAAAGGTACACAATCTACTTGCTACTATACATCATGTACTGTGTTATAACCCTAGATAATGCCGACGAGGAAAGGCATAACATCGACCAGCGAAAGCCATATTTTTATGTAGCCTAGGTGGTCGAGTGGTCTCAGGGCGCTGGACACTGTGCAGGCGGGTTCGAATCCCGCTGAGGGAAGAACAAAATTATGGGCTAAAATTGAGACGAATTATATATAAAATATATGGTGTTAGCACTGTATAACCACGTGTTATCCAATGGATAATGTCTGTCATAAAGTTGTCACATGTTTAGACGTGTTTATATATATGATAAGCAAATTTAGCAATATATCAGTTTAGTACAACACATTTTTAAGTGAGTTTAATTTGATCAATAATTTTTATATTTTGAAAAAGTCTTTCCCAAACCGTACAAAGAATTTCACTTCATTTGCACAAAGTTATTAAAAATTTTGTAAATACCCGTCATATCCATGTAGAGAACCACTGTAAATAGCATCTGCACTCTTCTTCATGGACTCAACAATAGAAGCTGATCCATTCTTGTAACCAACCAGTAAAACTTCAACTTTTGACTTATTCTCAGGTCTAAGAGGAACGTTAGTGAGGGATACCACTACCTTTATTGGTTTTAAGAATTTTGCTCTATCGTATTCAAAGTTGAATTTGTTGCTCACATGTTTGACATGTCGTGTAGATGTGTAACCGAATCTGGAAAACTCAACGTCTGGTGTGTGTACCTATAACCATGTAAAGTATTATATAAAAATTTAAGATATTATAGGTTATTGATGTGTAAACTGGGGCGATTAACTCACAAACTGAATAAAAGTCCTTCTTTATGTTAAGTTTGTGAGTAAGCGACCCTGTTTACACATCAATAACCTCTAGAAAAAATGTGTTTAATCCTTATAATTCTGAAGCCAAAAATTTGCAATTCTTAATTAACAATTTTTGTTAAAATGCTACTATTTACCATCAAATGCACAATTGGCATGTCGTAACTAAGGAGTGAGCCGCCATATTGACTTTCTTCAACTTGATACTATGTATTTAAAAAAAAAAACGAAAATCAGATTATCTTTATTTTTTAAGTCGGGATTGTACATGTAATCTATAATTTCTACATAAATGCCACATTCGACAATCGGATGTGTGTCTGATTAAAAAATAATTCCGAAAACAACTCATCTGATGGGAAGGTTTTAAATCTAACATCTCGCATATCTCATATTCTATACTAACCGTATACCTAAAGTTTTCATTTGATTTGACACAATCTTTATCAAACTTTAAGATACACGCACAGCTATCACCGATATCTATTTCAGTTCCCAATGGATTAACAATCGCACTCATCCTCTTTGAGTGAATAAGTATTCCAAAACTATCAAGTTGACAGCAGCAAAATTCAGCAAAACCATCCTACATATAAAATATATGTTTTATAAGTAAGGGTGAGAGCCTCAGAGCCATACTACAAGATTGTTTGTCTTGAATAGCAAAATGTATGTACATTCCGCGTAGATATTTCATCGTTATATTTTCGAAATGGAAATATTCCGTAGATACTTGTTTTTATTTGATAATAAATTACATTTGAATTGTATACCTTGAAAGAAAAAAATTATTAAATATTTTATAGGAAATCAAAGACATAAAGGAAAGAACCATCAAAACCCAAAAACAACAAAACATAGAAAACAAAGCAAAATTCATATTTTTATTCAAAATAATTCATTATAAAGCCGAAGAATCATTTTGCCTATTACCATTATGGTTTTACAATTGTATGATTTTTTTTTTGCTCTTTTCTACTTTGCCACTTCCCGCAAAATCAAAATTTTCAAAATCTTTCCTACACCATATATATAAAAAAGAAAATGTGGTATGATTGCCAATGAGACAACTCTCTACAAGAGACCAAATGACACAGAAATTAACAACTATAGGTCACCGTACGGCCTTCAACAATGAGCAAAGCCCTTACCGCATAGTCATATCTATTTTTACGTAAAATTTATATAATTTTCTGATACAAAAATCTTTCATTATTTTTGTATAATTGCGATACAAGTATTCCCTTATTCCTCTGTATATTTATTATAATAATTTGGCCTTGTGTTCTTGGTCTTTCTCTTAACTAAATGACAACCACACTTTACTGGCAGACGGACATGCAAATATCCGATATTTACAAAACACTGCTTTTAAATTATATATGATCATGAAATATTCAAACTTAATGAATACTAGTAATTAAAATAAAATGTTTGCGTTAAACGCAAAGGTTTGCGTTATTTTGCAAATGTTTGCGTTATTTCGCAAAGGTTTACGTTATAACGCAAAAGTTTGCGTTATAACGCAAAGGTTTGCATTATTTTGCAATGGTTTGCGTTATAACGCAAAGGTTTCCGTTATTTCGTTGCGTTACAACGCAAAGGTTTGCGTTATTTCGCTGTTTGCGTTATAACGTAAAAGGTTTCCGTTATTTCGCAATTGTTTGCGTTATAACGCAAAGGTTTGTGTTATTTCGCAAAGGTTTGCGTTATAACGTAGAAGGTTTGCGTTATTTCGCAAAGTCTTGCGTTATAACGCAAACATAGGAAGAAATATATAAAAAAAATGTGTGGCGCTAATACGTTTCCGTACGACTCTTACTGAACTTAAATTTCGAATAGGAAAAAAGATATGTACAAACTACATTTTTTGTATATTGAAAATAGTGTATCAAGAAAATCTTTAATAAATATGTTTCATATTAAAATAGGTAAAACTCTTAGAAGGATAATAACTCCTATAATGAGTCATATGATGGTTTCAATCGTATTAACATTTTTGTAAATCTTCTATTGCTGATCTTATCTGTCATTCTATTGAAGATTTCAAGATAAAAGGCAAAACGATAAATTGGTTTCAAGACACTTTTTGTATAATAAATCACAATTTTCACCCAAAATATTATCTCTTGAATGTTTTTTAAATGTGTTGCTGTATAAGGTAGATAACCAAACGAACGCTTCTGGCATGGCTTCGTTTAGCCCCGATTTTTGGTGAGGTTCATGTTGTTTGCTATAAAGTTTAATGTTAAAACTGAATGGTTGATTACTGTTTGCCTAACGTCCAATACAGTGTTTTGTGCTATTGTCTGTTCGGCTTTAACTTTTGTCCATGTTGTTGTTTGTCTTTCTTCAGTTAATAGAATATGATTACCCCTTTGTACATGCACCTTCTCAATCTTTTCACACAATCAGAAAGTTGCTTTTTAAGTCTTTTTATCTGATATAATCTCCATTTTCAGTTGAATCTACAGCTTTCAGAACAAATTGTCATGATAAAGCTGAACAATAAATACTAAAATATGAACAGGAGGAGATGCGGGATATACTTCAATCAGACAAGAACCCAACAATACAAAAACAACAAAAGACTATAAATATAGGTGATTAAAGTTTACCTTTACTGTGGCTTGAAGCATTTCCCACTCTAATCCGTCATATATCCAAGCAAAAACCTCGTAAAATTGGCTCCTAGTCTTTTCAACGAAAGAATCTATAATTGGGACTCTAAAACGCACTTCGTCATTAAACTCAGACAGTAAATTAAATTTAAAAGAACATGTCTTATCTATTTGTTCCTTCTCCTGAATTTTAACACAAGGGTTTCGTTTTTCTATATCCTTCCGTAGGACTGTTCTAAGGATATCAGATACCAATGTTGATTCTAAGGGGAGGTTTAAGAATTGGAGTGAATTATTTTTTTTATTCGCTGTCCATTTGGTGGTTATATATTCATTTAAGATACTATATAAACTGTTTGGTGCTGTTATACTGACATCATTTTCCAAGTTGATCTTACATGTACATGTAGTACTCCCAGGTTCTGGTTCATCTTCAAAGTCAGACGAATAGCAGTCATCACTCGAGTTTCTATCATCCATTCCAATTAATCTTTTCTTTTATGAAAATAAGAAGATAACTAAAGACTGACAGTAAGTAAACTATTCATATATGTAAGATAAAAGGACAAAGATATGAACAATTATTATAGTTTGACAATAAGAAACTCCATAACCGTATAGTTAGCTATTAATGATTAACATGATTAAAGGCCTCAGCCAGAATGACAAAATGAGGAAACAAATTCAAATGAGAAGTATCAAATATGGCTGACAACGACAAATTACAACCACTGGATTACAGGTTCTTGACTCGAGGAAAAATGTTATAATAAAAGTATTGTGAAATAGTATTTTAAGAGGATTTAGAAAAATATCTAATACCTGTAAAATAAACACGAACTTCAAAATGGCATATATAAAGCATATGATAATTGTTTGTGGATATATATATTTTTTAATCTTTTTTAATCATTTCTTTCTTTTCTAACATCATCCGTTTTTGAATATTAGAATTTTACTCTTTGAAATATTTCGCGTTTGTACACAAAACCTGTAGGAGTATCTAGATTTGGCTTCTAAATCTCATAAAAATTCATGACAACCTACCTAAATGAAATAGAATTAACTAAAATCTGTCTTGCACCGAATAACAAACAAGGACATATCGTTTAAGACAACATAGAGGGTAGCATATAAAGGTAATCAATGTCTACTCAACTGCCACACTTGTCTGTCTCTCGTCCGGTGTTCGACAAACTCAATATTTGTATATTCGAAGACATGTTGAAGGTTTACGGAAAGAACCAACCTAGTACTGTCACATGTATTGGAGTACTCACTTTCAACGTTTGAAAGGAAGTCGCGAAGTGAGGACGGAAGTTAGGTCGTTCCCTGAATAAAATATTCAGTATGCCTTCGAAATAAAAATATTGGCAAACTTGTAAAATACAGGTCGGGTACCAGACTAGAAAGGAAGTACAGGTAAAAAGTCGACGATAACCGGAATCAGTTTGAATTGATGAATTCAAACTGCAACTTGGAAAAACATTTTATTCTGTTGGTACTGTAAATGGTATACGCGCACAGGCACCTGCCTGTGAAAAATATTACATATAAAGTGTACAGGTATTTTTTTTCAGAGCCTAGTGCCTCTGTATATAGGCACAATACTGCATTTTTTTTTATTAAAATAAAAGAAGAAATGATACTGTGCGATAGGCTTCGTTGATATTAGAATGAAATAAAAATTTGAGAAAATAATGTGTGTGGCGTGTCAATTACTACTTCCTACAAAACCAGTTATACAGCCATAATTTGACAGTAGATGTGTTCCAGCTTTATTAGATAAATAAAAGTAATTGTACGTAATCCTTTCAGAGTACCTGATTTGATCCTAGTTTTGTATTGCGCAATCTTTAATTTTTTGTGAACTGTTTCGTTTTGCTGTTTTTTATAATGGCCTTGTCTGTTTTCCTCAACTTCTGTTTTGATGGTCTGCTTAAAATGTTATCCCTCTTCCAATTACTTTACAAATAGCAGGTATTTTAACAAGATATTGCAATCAGACTATATTTTGTCTTCCTCCCTCATACTTTCTTCATCACGAGTTGGTTGACCGTTATAGAATATCTGTTTCACAGATGACGACAGTTATGTCCCTTTTGTCGTACTTACAACAATCCCGTCCTCTTTTCCTCGAATGTGACTTACCGAATTAGATTTATTACCGGGTTTGTACTTACATGAGCAACACGAAGGGTACCACACGTGAAGCAGGATATGCTTACCCTTTCGGAGAACATGAGAGCCCGGTTTTTGGTGGGGTTCATGTTGCACAGTATCTAGTTTTCTATGTTGTATTTTATGTACTTTTTTCCCCCTCGTTTTGCAATAATGTTAATATATACCTGATATATGTTTACCAATGTTTACATATATGTATTGGTATAATAAAATGCAATTTTTAAACAAGTTATATTATTGTGCTAAGATAGTATAAAATATTGAAACTTACCAAAGTGATTTAAAAAGACTAAGGTTTGAATCATTTTATACTTAACAAATACAAAGAATTTCACTATTCTGTTTAAACGTAATTTGATATTTCTTAATTGTCGAATCCACTAACAATATAACATGTATTGTTATTTAAAACAATAAAAAGATATACAATATCATGAAAGTTTACCATAACGATAATGGTTTCTAAACATGAAGGGTATTGTTTTAATCATAACTCTGTGCTTCCCTCGAGAATAGAAGTTATATTGTACCAAGTCGCTGTGCATGAATTCGTTCTGAAGTTTGCGACAAAACCTTTCACAGTAGTCCATCAGTACACTTTCAAACTAGTCAATTACTCTGATAAAAAAAAAATAAGTACGCATTTTAATAATAACTGTTAACACAGAGATATGTGTCGCCTATGTAATCTAGTCACAAACTGTTGAAACTCAGAAGTAGAAAATAAACTGACAACGGCATGGCAAAAAAGTAAGACAAAAAATCAAACAACAGTATACTAAACACAACATAGAAAACTAAAGAATGAGTAACACGAACCACACCAAAAGAAACGGGGGATGATCTCAGGTGCTCCGGAAGGGTAAGCAGATCCTTCTCTACACATAGCATCCATTGTGTTGCTCATGTAAGTACAAACCTGGTGAAAAATCTAAATCGATATGTCTAATTCGGAGAAAAGGAGTACGGGATTGTGGTTACGACGATTGGAACATATACGTCCTCATCTGTGAAACTGATATTCCATAATGGTCAACCAACTCCTGATGGCGTCCGTAAAATTTTCGAAAGGGTGATTTCAACTTCACCACTTGGAACTCTTGGTTTTAATAACCTCTTTGTGAGCAGCAACCATCTATCATGGAATTCATGATAGAAAACGCAAGCCATTGAATATTGTATCAACTGAGAGATATATACTTCATATGCAGGCGTTGCTAGAATGTTGCTACATAGAACACACTTTGTTGTAAATGTTGTCATATTATACTGTCCAGTGCCTTTACTTGTATAGTTCATTATTTGTCGAATAAAAATGGATAATCATCATAATAAAAATTTGGTAAAATTTTATTTAAAGGTTCCAGGTTAGGGTTGAGTGTCCACAAAGATATATAAGCCCGCCATTTATATCTGCCTGACTCAAGCCAGGAGCCAGTAAGCCTGTGGCTGCTGTTGGTTGCTGTCTGCCATTAGTGTATTTCGATTATTGTTGCAGCATCAATCTGGCCATTGGTTTTCTTTTTTTAATCGCTTCACAATTTATCATTTCGGGCCATTTATAGCTTACTATTCGGTTTGAAATTTGCTCATTGTTGAATGGCGTACAATGACTTGCTATTGTTCTAACATTTGTCATTAAGTTGTGTCTTCAATTGATAGTTGTGTCATAATGCCATTATACTACATCTACTTACAGTATTTTACAAATAAACAAACATGAGCTAACACTGATGGATTTAAAAGCATTGCTTTCGGCTAAACTAATCACTTGTGCTGACAGTATAGCTGTCAATTTACATATAAATAGTAACACTGTTAAATGTCATGATAAAAAACTATTCGTTACGGTAAATAAAATGTAGTTACTTTTGACCTTAGGCTATATTAAACTGAAATTCACATGTATTTATATAAAAAAAATCCCATCAAAGCCTTTGTAAGTCGACCCTTCATTAAGCTTATACAATTTGTGCGGTCTAAATGTTAACTAATTACCATTGGTATAACATTTTTATGTAGCTAAGAGTAAAATGTACCTAGGATAAGCACAGAAGGTATTGACGGTTCCCTTCACTTACCTTCTATAAAATGGTGTCATTATCTTCCCAGACATATCCTTTGGTCGATTTATAGGATTTATTCACGAATAAACACCTACATAGTATCGTTGTTATATACATTTTGGTTGATAAATAGTGTGTTCGTTACGGAGTATGTCCAGGTTGTGCTTATTTATAAATGTATTTCATATTTCTAGTTGCTTATGACGGTTATAGTTATTTTGGTACAATGAAATGTTTTTTTTAAATCTAATGCTTATCTCTATCTTTTATATTGACCGATTGGTTGATTGATTGATTGTTGGTGTTTAACGCCACTTTTTTTATCACTAACGCCTTTATTGTGGTGGTTAGTTTTTATTGGTGGAGAAAGCCGGAGTACAAGGAAAGAAACACCGGGCCGGTACTCAATTGATAAGATGTATATTTTTGTTTTTTACTATCAATTTCTATTTGACAACAGGATACATCGTGTGTGTAAACAGATAAAAAAGTGAAAGAAAATGTCGGGTGCCACTAATGGTGCAGGATCTGCTTACCCTTACTTAAGATAGCCCCAGATTTCTGTGTTGTCCGTGTTTCTCAGTTTTTAGTTTTCTGTATAGTGTTTTATGAACTTGTTTGTCTTTTCGTCGTTTTTGGATTTTTGCCATGGCGTTTTAATTTCTCTTCGACTTTTGAGTTTTATATTGTCCCTTGGTATCTTCCGCCTTCCTTATAGTTTGTCTAGAAAATGTAATAAAAGGTTTTTTTAACAGTGAGTGTAATATGAACATGACATGACATACAGTTTCACAGTAGTCTAACTCAGTTTTTGATGTAGATGTTAACAATTCTCACATTTGTTATTAGGTTAAAAGATACACGAAAGATACATTTAGTTTCTTTTAAGAAAATAGTTATTTAGAGCATGGCTGTTTATCATTTTACCTGTTGTGAGGAACAAATTGGTATACATGTATTATTTTTAAAAAGTTAGACAAATAATATATTAAAGTAAAACACATGTTAATACACAAAGGAATATCCTGGTTGATAATTAACCACGGTAAGTCGTGCACCAATATATATATTAATACTTTTCAATATTTATATACAGATACTTTACAGACCCCATTAAATGCATAGTCTAATCGTCCAGCTTGCTTTCGTTTTAAAGCAACAATCATCCAATGAAATTTGTATATTATCAAGTATATCTATGTTTGTCTAATCTAGAGTGCATACATTGTTTCCCGATAATGCACAGACGTTTTATTTTCTCGAAAGTAGAATTAAACAGTGTTGTTTAAACCACGGATATTTGAGGAAGTACTTGGTTGTGTTCTAAAGATATCCCTTAGTGTAGAGTTTGCTCGACTCAAATTTTGTCTTTGATTTCCACTTTACAGAAAATCTAAACTGAAATCCGCTTTTGCAATTTCTCCTCTTCTTTGGTTATCCGCTGAAAATTCCATTATAGCATTCGTTGATCTGCCCATTCCTCTATTTAATTCAACGGAAAACAACGTATTATTCTCTATCGTAACATACATGAAGAAAAGAAATGGGTGATTTTTTATTCCAGGTTTGAGTCCTAAACAACCAGTGGGCCGAATTCGTATCCTTTGATGCGGAGGTAGTAATATATCCCCAGATTCGAAAATTAGTTTGTGGTCCTTATGTTTATCAATTATTTCATTGGAATTTCGCTGCAAACAACACTCAGTTTTAAAGTATAAAGTTGTATTATCTTTCTTGTGATAAAATAGTAAAACTTTGCACACCTTTCGATTTCCGTAAAATAAATCAAGTTCGTTTTTTAATGTTTCTGCAAAATTTTCATTTTCCTCCTTTACACGTTTAATTGCAACTAAGGCTGCCCTGTAAAAGACCAATAACTCTGTATTTAGATGCAATATTCCTCATGAACAAAGTTAAAGGAGATGTAGGGTAAACCGTCAATGAGACAGAATAACAATGACACTAATAACCAAAAGACATTAAGAGTGCAAGTCAGTCCTGAATTACTGTGCAGTTTACACTTATTTACTTGTTTACTTGTTCGCAAGGTGCTCTACAGAAAACAAAACATAATTTCATGTGTATTTCTATTTGATCATTCGTTTTTTATACGCCCGTCAAATTTTTGACGGGACGTATTATGTTATACAAATGTCCGGCGTCCGTCCGTCTGTCTGTCCGTCTGTCCGTCTGTCTGTCCGTCTGTCTGTCCGTCTGTCTGTCCGGCGTAAACATGTCGCACCGTAACTTGAGAATGACTTATCCAAATTTCATGAAACTTAACATAGTTGTTTCTTATGATGGTCAAACGATCTGTATACTTTTTGGTGAAAATAAGATTAAAACTTTTTGAGTTACGGGACTTAGTAACTAAAACAGGTGTGTGTTTTTTTTCACATGTCGCGCCGTATCTCAAAAACAATTTATGATTATTGCTTAAAACTTTACACACTTCTTAGTTATATTAATCTTAAGATCTGTATACTTTTTGGTGATGATTTAAAATTTAATTTTTGAGTTATTGAGTATTTTGTTAAAAAGGGGGAGGGGTTTTTCACATGTCGCGCCGTATCTCAAAAACAGTTTATGATTATTGCTTAAAACTTTACACACTTCTTAGTTATATTAACCTTAAGATCTGTATACTTTTTGGTTTTGATTCAAAATTTTATTTTTGAGTTATTGAGTATTTTGTAAAAAAAGGGGGAGGGGTTTTTCATATGTCGCGCCATATCTCAAAAATGATTTATGATTATTGCTTAAAATTTTACACACTTCTTAGTTATATTAATCTAAAGATCTGTATACTTTTTGGTTTTGATTCAAAATTTTATTTTTGAGATATTGATTTTTTTTTTTAAAAGGGGTGTTTTCACATGTCGCGCCGTATCTCAAAAACGATTTATGATTATTGCTTAAAATTTTACACACTTCTTAGTTATATTAATCTAAAGATCTGTATACTTTTTGGTTTTGATTCAAAATTTTATTTTATAATAGATATTGAGTTTTTTGTAAAAAAAAAAGGGGGGGTTTTCGCATGTCACGCCGTATGTCAGAAACTATTTATGCTTATTGCATAAAAATTCACACACAAGACGACGGGCGTATCATGCGCTCATGGCGCAGCTGTTTATTCAACATTGTTTTACACTATACCTTCAGCTTTTAAACCTCCGAAATTATCATAACTGTAATATCAAAATTTGAATAATTCTAAATAGTTCATTTGACCTCATATTAAAACTGTTATACGAAACCAG